TTAAAGGACCCGTGTGTTGATTTTTATTAATCTGCGTAGGTTTCACGTGTAAGCAGTAGATGCACATTTTTATATGTTTAACATGGAGCACACCGTCATGCTACATGTATGTACCTTGCTGCAAGAAGGACTAATAGGCATTTTGCAGCTAGATGACTAGATGAGAGAGCAAACATACATATATATATTACGAAATAAAACCAGGTTTAAGCAGTCTATATGCTTATAGCCTAAGATTTTTAGGCCTTCTGTGAAACAGTGTGTGTGCCAGAAATAATTAATATATAATCCAGGTCTTAACCATTTGGGCTTGCTTAACCTCTGGGGGTGGTGCATTCAAGTGGGTCCTATTATATACTTTAAGTTAATATACATCGCATCTTATATTGCGCCTTCTATTCAGCCCAGGGGCGGAACCAGGATTATTTGAAAAGGGGAGGGGGGGGGGGGGCGGAACGACAGACCTCGGACGCGAAGCCGACCATCGCCCCCTCGGTGTGGTGTTCGGGGCCTGCTCAAGGGCCCCGAAAATTTTTGGGTTTTCTTCAGAGCAAACAGTGTCCTTTGCGTCGGTTTAGAACTATGATTTAGCTAGTAAAAATTTCTAGAGGAGAATATTGGTGTGATATAGTTTTCAGATAATTTTCAGGCCCCCCTGACCCCCCTCTAAATCCGCCACTGCAGCTTATAGCCCTTGATTATGTTCACAAGCCTTATGAAAACTGCCCTTATAGAACCACCTTCGTGCTAGTACCAGTAAAAAACAAAAAAAAAAAAAAAAAAAAATTCGCCCCTCTCGCCACGTGAGGTGGAAATATTATCCAGACTTAAGCCGACTAGTCAGTCTCTCGAGACCAGTACCTTAGCCTAATTGTAGCAGACGATGAGCAACGGACACTGCTAGAAAGTCACATTTATCCCACGCTTTACTTGTAAATCAAATTGCGAAGACATATTCTTCTGTAAATATCGAATATCCCTCTCATCGGGAAAACGATTACATAAAGTAAGAGGAATGATTTATAGATAGGGTCGTAGGTTCCAATTCACTCCAGACGTTCAACGCGTGACAAAGACTGTAAGACTGTTAGTCTTTATCTGTTTGTTTCGTTATTTTTGATATTTGAAAATAAAAAAGTATATATAGGATCCGGATCTCTAGATACGAGCTTAACGCAACCGACCTCATCTGATTAAATGGCGGTTCGCCTTAGGGAAATCTAGATGTTATTTGGTAATGAAGACATATCTTGTGACAGGTACGAGTTTTGTCAGCTGTATGGGGGTATGAAGCGTAAATATATCAATTATTGAACGAAGACGGTGTATATTAGCATCGACTTATAATTTTTGAGTGTAAGAAATGTTTCTGAACATAAAAGACTTTGCACAATACAGTTACAATACATTTACAGTACGCGTATGTAGGCCTACTATATAGCCTATAGCTCCAACATAGAGTGGTCTACTATCGGTTGGTGCACGTTGACCAGAACTATATAATTATGTTTTTTCTAGGAAGGATGTTCACCAAAGTTCGCAGTTATTGAAGTATAAAACGTAAACATCTTTAGCTAAACTGTTACCGCCCGGTCGCAATCAACACACACGCATTTGCATAAGCACATTTACATAAACACATTTTTAGAACAAAAACAGCTTGAAAAGAAGCGGTGAGGTAGTGCCGCAAATCTAACACTCACTATTCAAAACTGATTTGCTTTTTTCAGATTTGAGAAAACATGTTTTGTTATTGATTTTATGATACAATGTAGGATTTTTGGAACTCAAGTATTTTAAATGTCACCGCCAAGAATTTGAGGGAACGTGGCAAGAATTGCCCACCACGCGCCTTTTTGGATTTTAGTATTAAACTCTGTCTGGGAGGATGAAATATTTAAGTGATGGCAATATATTTTGGCTGAGACTATCTTTACATTTATACCGGACGGAATTGACAGTTCCCTCGCCCCGTATAATGAGTATGGAGCCTCATCGAAACATGGCCAGAATACATGTGTCAACAGAGTATCGTCAGAATCACAATGTCTGAAATACAAACTATTCTTCCTGGAAGTTGAAAGAAAGCGGCGTATTGGTATAAAACTGTATTTGTTTTTTTTTATGGTCAGTGGACCAAAATCACCGTCTTTGACACAGTGTGTTCATTTGTTTGGAGATAAGCTCATTACATCCACCTGAAATAAGCTGTGGCGTTTTTTTTTCTTTTTTTCTTTCTTTTTCTTTTCTTTTTTTTTCTTTTTTTTTCTGACAAAATATTTCAAAAAAATCTATATTCTACAGACGGGAATAATGGTGCGTTATTCTAAACCGTTAACACCAATTGCTACATCCGCTATGTAATTAACGTTAAATGCTAATTTTGTTAAATTTTCCTTTGCGACAGGAAATGGGGATATCCATTTATTTTCGAACACCCGACAAATGTCAAATCTTGAAAAAAAGCCCTTCTGAGGATGATCTTGGAGATTTTACGCAGCTCGGTGTCTTCGTAATTGACTATCGCAGAAATGAACCAAGCATAACTTAATTTCATTGCAGTTTTCCACGAGGAGCGCTAATAGTATTGGTTTTGAATGAGCGATGAGTGGGAATATGGGTATGCACGTAGGCCACTTTATCATTTAAAGACGTAAGGAAATAGTTATTACCTCGAATCGTAAAATGATTACAGCAGGATTTCTTCCTAAGCTCTGTGGGATTGGAAGCGTATCTATCAAAAAATACTTCCCTTAAACTTTTCAATTTTTACACTTACTTGCGCTGTACATATACATGTATACCTTAACCCCCCCCCCTTAACACTGGAAGGTGTCCTTTGTTCGTCTCCCCTACATAAAAAAGTGGCCAGGACGCTCAGTGGTTGCCAAAGAAATAGATTCGTGTCTCTGTAAATGCGTCTGCATCCCTTGTACAGTATACGTCCTTTGAACAACCGAGTCTGAACTTTACCTGTTAATCTACATGCAACCTGTGCGTCCACTGAGCGACCTGCCTGTCTTCTCTCTCGTCCCTTGTGCATTAAGGCGTCCACTGCAATATTTGAACGACCACTGAGTATCCTCGTTGCGTTCTCCGTACCTTCATCGGCGATCAGTGGCGACCATTCTACGATCTATCTGCTTCCTGCTAGACCGATGGGCGTCGATATATTCTGACACTTTTATATATTTTTCTATCAGTTTTAACCCGGCCATCCAATCAAGAACATCTCCAGAAAAGAAAATAATAAGGAATAAACTTTTTGAACTACAGTAATGCAAGTTCTGCATGGACTAATAATAAACCAGATGATCATTGTTGACCTTCTAAGAAAGGTGGACTAGACAGGCGCCGAAGAGGGCTGACTGACACAACATAGAATATCTGAATTCATTTTCAACAGATAAATTCTGCAAAACCTGCGACAAGAATTGCATCTTGTAAAGAAGCAAATATTCGTTCTTTAATTATTGGTTCAGGAGTTTGAAAAAAAAAAAAAAAAAAAACAATTGGAGGCAGGTATGAGGCCACTAGTAACTGTTACTCTCAGATTTCCGGTCTCTGGTGAAAAATGCCAAAACACGGTCCCATTTGAGATTAAAAAATAGTATTTTACGTGCCAACCAATGGTCAATCTTCGAACGTTCATTTTGCAACCAAAGCGATGCTTGTGCGTCCTCTCTGCGCCCTTTGAGCGACCTTCCAGCGACCAATCTTCACCGCATTCTTTGTGCTACTGTTTTGAACATGCTCAAACTTTGCAGCGATCATGGCGTCCTCTGCAATGCTTGAACGTTCTGTGTGCGATGTTAGCAATCACCGTGCGTTCTTTGAGCGTCCATCGGCGACCTTGCCAGTTTCATGGTCGCATTAAGTACGCAGAAAGGACGCCGTCCAGTGTAAAGGGGGTTTGATAAAGCTTTCTAACACTAAGTACTGTGACCTGCCCTAGTGTATGTTTCTCTAAGACTGAGCACTATTCACTGGTGTCTCAGTAATTGTGATTAGCAATTTGTTATAACATATAACAGCGTATAACAAAAAAAGACTACACAGATGAATCTCCATCAAAATATTGAGCTCTTGTTCAATTGCTTGATCGGTTAAAATCCTTAATGTCCAAAGAACGCAATTCAATCGTGGGCACATGTATATTGTTTTTTTCAAATGCTCTTTTTTCTCTTACATGTAGTTGTAAATCATCCCGTTCTCAACTAACGCAGTTTGAAAACATGTCACACTCCGTGTACCATTCTGCTGATTTTTTTAATTAAAAAAATCTGCTGATAGCTATTTTTTTATATCATGATTTTTTCAGGGATAAAGATAAGTACAAAGCAGAAAGATTTCCATACATTCTACAACACAAAAGTGTATTTGCTATGCATTCCAGCTTTATATAATGTACAACGTTCAATGTAAAAGAACTCTGATCTATGCCCCGTATTTGCAAAACGAGTTGACATCAGACACCTCAATGGAAGTCGGTTTACACTGCATGACTTTTAAAGAAAGAAAGCATTTATAGTTAAGGGATCGTTTCTTTAAAAAGCGTCTAGGGGTTACTGGCTAAGGTTTGGCAATATGAGAACACCAAAAGGTTATTTTAAATGGAGACCTGGTGATATAATGCAAAGGGAACCGAAAAAGAAAAAAACAACAACATCTATCTCGTGACAAACAAAGCGTAAAAAATCCAGAAAAAAAGACACATGTACACCATAACAACTTTGCTATGTTTAATCATCTATGTTTTCTCTGATAAATTAAACATGGCAAAACGGGTTGATATGAATTGTTCTTGCAGTTTTCTTCTAACCTAGGACGAAATATTTGAAAATGGTGTCCTAGTTCTAACACAATGAACAACCTTTCAAAATATTTATACAAGCGGTGAACAAAAAATATCACTCAACCGACAACAAAGCACGGCGTTTACTATTCTTGTCACGTTCCATTCCTGGTATATAAAATTATAGCACACATTGTTACGAAAGAGTCAGAGATATTGAATCGAAGAACACACTGTTACAGCACTTCATTTCGAAAGAGTCAGTGTTGTCTTCTGCAACAATGTTGAATACGACAAAAAACTTTCGACGAGGCCTAGCATTAGCTATGAATATGCAATCTAATCGGCGTTTGGGAAGATTCATCAAACCTTCTCAAGAATTGTGGAAAGAGACAAACTTGTCCATTTGTAATGGACGTGGAAGAATAATTCCCTTTGCCCAGTTAAGCCAAGAGGTGTCGAAACAGCCACTGCGTTTGAAAAAGGTTAGTTAAATCAGTTATGACCGCCATTTGATGGGGAATTTGAATGTCATGCTCTGTACGTTAACATATATGTTCATGATTCAACTTATAGTTAAGGCTAATAACCCCACGTAAAATGCCAACAAAACCACTGTTAAGTTAGTAAGCAATGACAGTCATTCAAACAGAGGATATTTTTACAATTTAATTGGCTGAAAAGTGAAACACAATGTGATGGAAATAAGAAACCTGACACAACTCTGCCAAATGTTAGGCTTATCGCACCGTTACTGGGGCATTGGTTGAAATATAAATGGCATAAACACTTCTTGCAAGCTTTCAGCAAACTTTTAATGCTCTTGCTTTGCAGAAGATATGGAACAGGATTTCTTCTTGCAACAATATATGCAAACAGTTCCCTGTTTTGTTTGCAGCAAGTTTGAAGTAAACTTTTCGTTTTGGTAAGAGTATACTAGTATATTACACGAGGGATATGGTAACTTTCACTAAGAGTGAGCTCCTGTTCCTAAATGCCAAACACTATAGTTTGTAATTTATTTTTAAGTTCTTTTATGTTTTTTTAACAATGCCATCTCAGCGTTTTTTACTGCTTAGGCGTGTGATTTTAATGAGTTCCGGGACATATCCCCTAGTCTTAGAGTCACATTCATAGTGTTAGAAGTTTATAAATATAATTCTTTGTGAAAGTTGCTAAGATAATTAATGTATTTTTTTTTAAAGGGTCACTTGTGTACTTTACATGCATATTAGTTCCAACAAAGGAATACCAAATACAGTATACAAATATATTATATGTCTATATATATATCGTGCACTGGATTGATTTAATTTATTAGTAAAAAAATAACAGAAATGTTCAAAATAATTTATTTCAGATGCCAACGGATTACCCATTGTTGACTGGTTCAGATCATTGGAAAAGGAAGGCTCGAACGATTTTCAAGGCCGTTGATACCAAAGGTCAGGGATACATCACTAAAGAGTCCATGGAGCTCACTGCTAAGCGTGCTGCCCAGTACTTGGAATTGAATGGTAGGCATCGGTTTAATGAAATTAAACAGATAATATAACTGAATTTAAAAAAGCGGCTTAGTATCAATGGCTTTGATAATTTACCTGTTAGCGTAGGATCTTATTTCAAATTCAGATTTAAAACTTTTGTGAAAAACAAATTGTGATTTTTCTGCACACATCACACACACACACACACGCACAAGCACATGTCCACATACACACGTCCTCACACGCGCCAACCTGAAACCATAATATTTCCTCAAACTTATAACAGACAAAATACTGGTCAACAGAGTTGTTTAAGGTTGCTGTGTCGTTCATGCGTCTTCCTAACTTTTTTCCTTGAGTGTATTTCTACATATATTTCCAGATGAACAAACGGAGTATTATGTGAATCTTCGACTCGACATTTGGAGAAGTGTCATAAATAGAGGTTCAGATGACGACAATGCCCAAATTTCGGAGGAAGAATTTCTTAAGAATCATATGCTCATGTTTAACGACAGCAAAAATCGAGCACATTTAGCCGATTCCTTTGTCATTGAGTTCATTGCCATAGATGCCGATGGCGACGGATATATTTCGCCCAGAGAGCACGCCGCTTATTTCTACGGGATTGGTATTCCCACGGAGTACTCTAGGCGTATATTTGATATCATGGACACAAATAAAGATGGCCTCATCTCCAAGGAAGAGTTCACGCAGGCTCAAATGGAATTTTGGCTTGGCGAAGAGGAAAACAATATTTATAATGAATTTCACGGTCCTCTTGTTGATTGAATGCAACATACCCCAGTATAATTCACTTAACTAGTATTTGGTTAGTGAAATAAGGATGGCATAACACGGTTAATAGCGCGGCTGTAAAAAATGAGACAAAATGCTAATCATCAATAATATCGTAAAAACGCGAATCTTATATTGTGACACAGGTGCTTTCCTAGTATATTAACAGAGTGATCCAGAGAAGTGCAAAAAAAAAAAATTATATTGTGGCGAAGCACAAAATAATAACGAGGGACTCATCATATTCTGCTTTACTAGAATATAGTTGAACAATGGGGTTGGTGATGAAATTACTCTCATTAAAAAAATCATTGTCAGGTGCTGGTGTGATTTGCATTGCCTCCTTGATCAACCGTGGACATATTGCAGGGCATAGTAATTATACGCCTTTATAGGATTTTGCTTACTGATAAGTAACGTAAAGACACCATTTATTTTCCTGGTGAACAATTGTGAAGGGGTGAAGCAGTAGGGTTTGAGAAAGGGATGACGTTAAGCGGCGGGTTTGTCCGGGGGCTTTCTTATATCCTGCTGCTGTATCATACAAAATGAGACGGAAATAAATAAACGTAATTAATAACTCCCATTTTAGAATTTTACCACCGGCTGTCATTTACAGTCAGCCTATTGATGTATTTTGAAGGGGCGAGTTTTCTTGAAAGACCACGAGCCCAGATTTTAACAATTTAACCTAATTTTTTTAGGCCAATAACTTTATTAAGACTATTCTCTCTCTCTCTCTCTCTCTCTCTCTCTCTCTCTCTATATATATATATATATATTAAATAATAATAATAATAATAATAATAATAATAATAATAAACTTGATTTAAAGAGGGTTAAACATATGCGGCCGATTTCATAAAGGAGGTTTAAAGTTAAACCTGGTCTAAAGTGAGTTTACACCAGGTTTAGGGATTGTCTGCATTTCATAAAGGAGGTTTTAGTATTGGACCAGTGGTCTAGTAAAACCTGGCTTAACATCATTCTAAACCTGGTCTAGACAGGTTTGTGTTTCATAATTGAGGTCTAAGTTTTTGGTACCCGGATAATGGACTCAGACCAAGTCTAAAAATAAACCTGGTCAGACCCAGGTTTAACTCTGTAGCTTGGAAATAAGATGGCTGACGTAGACTTGCGTGATATTCGAGCACTTAACAATTTCGACGCAAGAAGACGCCCCGAGCGTCGCCGACGCATTTTTCGAGCAAGGGTTAATTATTTTGATTTCTATGATGAACAGGATTTCAAAATCAGGTTCAGAATTTCTAAAGAAATAGCACGTTAGGTCATAGATCTGACAGAGGATCGATGAGCACCCTATACAATGAGAAATCGCAGCATTTCACCGGAGCTTGCTCACATCCCGGTCCATCGAGCAGTGCGTCGTACAGATTATGCGGAGGGCTATCCACAGCATCATCTCCAATCACATCTATCACTTCTTGATTTTCTTGACTTAATTCAACCTCTTTTGGCCCCCTCCAGTCTTTTTTGCAGCTTTTTAAACATTTGCAAATTCTTTCTTAGCTTTTATTTTCGCTCGTTTCCTGAAGTCTTTCACCTGCCTTTCAGTTCTTTTCCCGGCTTTTGGAAAATGTGCTGCCAATCTTGTTATAATTTCTTTCCACGCCTCATTTTTTCTCTGACTTGATGTGACATCATTTTTCTTTGATTCAGTGATGTTGGACTTCTCCTTTATTAGTTCTGAGATGTATCCCTTCTCTTCAGCAGAAAAATTCTCCGCTCTCTTTCGGCTCTTTTTCACGTGCTCTTTACTTCTAAAGTTTTTTTTCTCATATGAGCTACACAGCTTATCTGCTTCAACGCTAGTGTGTGTCATCTATTCATTTACGCCTACCTGATTGACATAGTTCAGTGATTTCTTTGTCTATGTAATCCTGTAACATTCAACAGGATGTCAAGGACAAGTTAAAACTGGTTTAGCTAAACCTGGTTTTCTGGCTTTCCTACACTGTTAGTGAAATGCAATTTAGGTCTTGAGTTAGACCAGGTTTTGCTAGACTAGGTTTTAGCCTTAAACTAGGTTTAGTTAAACCTCCTTTATGAAATCGGCCGATGAAGTCCAGACACTTATCTTACACATGGCCTTCTGGGTGGTTAAAATAAAATATTGTGTTAATGAATAAAAGATGAATGAAATGAAATGAGTCAGAATAACAATAGTAATAAGAATAAAACAGACTGCTTTATGTTAGTACGAACCTTAAAGCTTCATGACTTAATAATTGAATACATAATATTTAATATTGGTTTATTAAAAACAATCTTTGAAAAGTCTTCTCAGTTTTTAATTTCAGAGTTAGGGCAGTTCCATATTTTAATCGAAGTCCATATTGGGCCTTTAGTTAGTATGTCTTTATGTACTTACTAGATTGATAAACAACATGTTAAATGAGACTTTTTAGGATAAAGGCTTCTGGGCTATGTCCCGAAAGATAATCCAAAATTCACGAAGCTAGCTGAAACGAGACACCTTAATAAGACTATGTTTACAATGTACGCATTATTGAAAAAGACCACACCAGTCGTTGCCGGGTGAACAGCTTCTTAAAGCATTTGGCAGTGAAGCACCGGGGGTTACATTTAACAAAGCATTATGTCCCATGGGTAACTTGTATTTTGGTCAAGGCTCATTACATCTTCCATGAAACAACGCACAGGTGGGAAAAAAGAAGAAAGAACATCAATTTTAAAATTTCTACTGGCAGCTACATTGTAGCTCATCAGTAGAGTGAGTCATTGGACAAGCACGTGCACCGTTCATGAATTCCCACATTTAAAAATGCATTTCTTTTCGTGTGTACATATACTTTGGATAATTTAAAAAGGTATATTTTCACCTGTAAACAGTTTAATATGCAAAAGGTAATTTGCTCGGATCCACGACTGGACCGCAAACCCTCTGCACCAAAGTGTTTCCTCTTGTAGTAGTCACAAGCAATTTTTAGAAATTGTTATAACAAAAAACACATTGAGCATTCTAAAAGTCGAACCAGGTGTAGCTGTGTCTAAGTCAGCGAAGTTACCACGGAGTCAAGATGCTTCGATAGAGGGCTTCAGACACTGAAACCCAGGTCCGCATTCTAGAAGTCATCCATGTGAAATAATGCTCAATGTATTCTTCTCTTTCTTCTTGTCTCTATTTTCTATCACAATGTTTTCACACCTTTCCATTAATGTTCTGACTACTCCCAAGATTTTATGTAAAGGGCGGTGCGAACTATATGCCAAATATTGATTTGTCTGACTTTTCTTTCTGTAAACTTTGATTTTAATTGAACCTTTCTTATTCTTATTTTTTATCAAAGTATCCAAGAAGGGTATTGTCCCATTATCTCAAATTTCATAGGTGGATTTTAAACCAACTGCCTCGTCCACACTGTTCAGGTATTCACGAATAGGTGGTATGAAAATATTTACATAAAAAACTGTCTGTGAAATTATTAATTTAAAGGCATAATAACTCTTTGTATGAGACCTATATTTCACAATAAAAACCTTGTGAATAACTCATAGAAATATAATATATTATGTTTTACCACAAAAACAGCAGTTATAGCTTTTATTCTGATATTTGAACTTGTCTTTAGACCACGTGACCTCCATTGATGTCTATACTTTGTTAAAATCTCTTAAGAGATTTTAACAAAAAACCAAACTTTTTGGAAAAAAACCAGGGACTAACTTTGAATGTAAAAATGGATTCATTAACCATTGGTAAGTATGGGAAAATTGTTGTTTACTCCAGGAAAATTCATTTTTTGGCCGAAACGAAGAGTTATTATTGCTTTAACAATATATGTATAACTATACATACCGATGAACTTTTTTAAGATTAAGAAATAAAAAAATCTGAAGTTATTTAACTTATTTAACAAAATTAAAGACCGTATTTAATTTATGCGTTTTGTGCAAAATAAATAATCAAGTGTTGATTTTTGTGGATACTCTGAAATTCGTTATTATTATTTGAAACTGTATTGATAACTAATAATTCACCTCATGTCGAGTGGTTTTGATGAGCCAATTTCTTCACCTCTCTCTTCTCCCTCCCTCCATCTTTCTCTTACACACACACACACACGCGCGCGCGCGCGCGTATACAAGCGCGACCTGAAGCCATCATATTTTCTCAAGCCTATATCAGACAAAAAACAGAGTTATTTATGTAAGTTTATTTTAACGTTAATGCGTCTGAAATGTATCTTTATAATCAGTTTACTGTTGTATCTTATAGGGCTTCGTGTCCTACTGCAACTTCCTGTACAGAGCATATTTATAGAAGGGCCTCTTTGCAACCCCACAAACGAAATTTGTGCAAAATTGTTTGAAAATAATAACTTTTGCTGACTCGTCACATCATTATTTTTAGGATGATGAGTCTTATCTAATATTTCATATATAATTTTTATCCCTAAGGCCATAACATTTAATGCATTCAACAATTTGCTACATTGTTATTATTGTTAAAATTATTAGGATAGTGAGTTTTATATATATATATATATATATATATATATATATATATATATATATATATATATATATATATATATATATATATAATAAAAGCGGCCTTGTTTGGCCAAATCACGAACAACCGATAGTCTTTGTTGCCTTCTCTTTTGTTATGAATGGGACTATGCAAGTTTGTGGTGTACTGGGATGGAGGAGACATAAAGCTTATTTGTAATATTTTTCTAATGATTCTCTCAACTAAATCTACTATTAATCAGACACTGAAGGGTCATTTTTCCTGTGCTGATTAGATAAAAAATAAAACATGTGCGATGAATCAATAACATGGAAAGTTTTCATTTGTATTTCAAAAGATGACAAAAAAGTAAAGCTGACTATAGAGTAACTAAGCACGTTTCTACCTACGGGGCGGGACGTTGTCACCCTTCACCCAAAAGACTCGTTTTGCAAGGTCTAACTTGACTACTAGTGAACTTATGTCGCGGGTTAGTGAGCCTTTTGATGCACACTTATATCAACAGAATGGGGGCATAAGTAAACTCAGCACCTGTGCTATTTTTATTGGCACTTTTGGGACGATCAGATTTGCAAGAGACAGTATTTCAGGGTAATAATGGGCTCAACGGGTACTTCCGTCTTTGTTCTTCAAATCCATTGGCATCGCATCCCGATAATTTGACAAATGGGCATTATATTAAATGTCATTGTAATGTTCTTGTAAATCAATAATAAATCTATAAAAAGAAGAGAAATCGCGTAGATTGTGTTAACAGTAGGTGAACAAATGTAAACAGAATATTTGTTTTTCCCTTCCTTACTACATTTGTAGGACTCATTCGACTACATTATACAGTGTTCGCCATTCAGTTCACGTGTCATGAATTGTAGTGCGACCTGTAACGACATTTAAAGGGATAACAACTCTCTATGTTGGTGGGAAAAGTGACATAAAACGAATTTTCCCCATGTAAACTAGAATGTTCCCATAGTTCCCAATAGTTTATGAATGCGTTGCGATTACGTCTAAAGCTAAGTGACTTTTTATGTAATAATCTGTTTAGAGAGTATTACGGAAGGTAGTCATTTATGAATGTCAACGTGGTCTGTTGGTAAGCATAGATTTCGGAATAATTACGATTAATGCCGTTTTTGGTGGTAAAATGGAGTTTATATCATGTTCATGTGCTGATTACATAATGTATTTATTATTGATTTTTTAAAAAAACCTAATGTGGAGAGTTGTTATCTCTTTAATGTCACGAAGGTCGGAAATTTATTTATGCACGCAGCCATACTGAATACCTCGAGGTTCTTTCTGCGTCGCCTTGTATGAGCAGTGTTCATTTAATCTAACCTGAAATTCGAGATTTCGATCCAACCTTTTCAAAACATTCTATAGAAGATACATCTGTCCATTTGTAACGGAAGTGGAAAATGAATCCATCTGTCCAGTTAATCGAAGGTCTGTCGGAGCAGCCACTGCGTTTGAAAAAAGTAAGTTATGTTGTGCTATAATATGCTAGTTATTCTTTTAGGGTCCTTTGATAAAGAATTGAAGTGTCAGGCCACATAGATTTTTATACGTTTAGATAAAACTACTAGTCACATTGGACCCTTAACTCAAAATACATTATTATGCCGATAGTCTGGACTAGCAGAAAGCATCACTTACATTGTCACGCAGAACAAGTTACTACACATTACAAACCAACATATAAACGTATAACAGTCTCCATAAACAATCTGGTACAACACACAAGACTGACAATTGGGACTATTGAGATATATCTCAGATTCATATAAAGGCTTAGATGTGAACTCAGGTACACAGAACAAGTTACTACATATTACAAACCAACATATAAACGTGCAATAGTCTCCATAAACAATCTGGTGCGACACAAAAGACTGACAGGTATTCCCATTCATCAGTCACAAAAATAGGAAAAACTGGTGAAAATGATTTGGAAAAAAAGTCTACACAACTTCATCATTTTGAATGGGAAGTGAAAAGAATCCTACATGTACGTACAAATTCCAGATTTTTTTTTTCAGATGCCCAAAGATTACCCACTGTTGACTGGTTCGGATCATTGGAGACGGAAAATTCGCACAGTTTTCAAGAGATTAGATACTGACGGCAATGGCTACCTTACTATAGAGGACTACGAGATCACGGCAAGGCGTGCTGCCGAGTACTTGGAACTGAATGGTAAATATTGGGTAGATAATATTAGAATTTTTGGAAAAGTGATCTGCGATAAGTTGATAATGTACTGTACTAATATATATAAAATATTAATTGTTAACATTATGAGTTTGGGGGGTTAGTTTGGGGGGGGGGATCGAACGATTCGCCTTTTTTTGCAGGNGTTTTCAAGAGATTAGATACTGACGGCAATGGCTACCTTACTATAGAGGACTACGAGATCGCGGCAAGGCGTGCTGCCGAGTACTTGGAACTGAATGGTAAATATTGGGTAGATAATATTAGAATTTTTGGAAAAGTGATCTGCGATAAGTTGATAATGTACTGTACTAATATATATAAAATATTAATTGTTAACATTATGAGTTTGGGGGGTTAGTTTGGGGGGGGGGGATCGAACGATTCGCCTTTTTTTTGCAGATGTTACGAACTTGAGGGTCCGTGTGACAGAAAGTCCGCCCTCCATTTAGTTATAATGGCTAGGGGTCAAAATCAAGGGCGAGGCTTACCTGTACAAGTGAATCGGAAGCGCACTTTCGATCGTGCGAGATTCTGTCACGTTACACCGGGAAAAGATCTGGGTAAAATTTGATCTAGGTCTCGTGGCGAAAGATCCGCCTTTTCACATAAAAAACTTTTTAAATTAATATTTTTGGCGAAAGCATTTATTTTTGTCTATCTATATTATATTTATGAAAACTTTACGTGAATATTCCAGATAAACAAGCTGAATATTTGCTTAATCATCGTCGTGTTATATGGACAGATACTGTAAAGCAGAGCTCACATCAAACCCACCCTGACAGAATGTCAGAAGATGAGTTTATTCAGAGTCACTTCCTGGCATTCAATGATAGCACCATTCGAGAGAATTTTGCAGATTATTGTTCAATTGAATTCATCGCCATTGACGCCAACGGCAGTGGTTTGATTTCGCGTAGAGAGCACGCTGCTTACTTCTGTGGACTTGGCATACCCACGGAGTTCTCGAAAGTTATATTTGATATCATCGACACTGACAAAGATGGAATCATCTCCAAGGAAGAGTTCACCCAAGCCCAGATTGAGTTTTGGCTCAGCGAAGATGAAAACAACATTTACAATGAATTCCATGGCCCTCTTGTTGCCTAAATGCGACATTTCTTAGACAAATTATGGAACAGGCATTTGAGCAATGAATCAAGCTCACGGACTAAATCAAAATTATGGGTTATGGTGTAAATGACACTGCTGCATAATGCAGATATTGCTGTCTGAGGTTTTCAACAATAAGAATTGACTATGAACCTTTGTCATAGTTGATTGTAAGAAAATCCTAAAATAAGTATCATTTTGACTGAGATAATAAACAATACGAGACGATGGAAATATGATGGAGTCGTTAAAACGTTGCCTTTAAATTTAATCTTAATTTTGACCGGACTCGCGACCAATTGGAGACCAAATTTTGGTCCACTGTCAACAGTGGTCACGACCAGTAATCTCTAATAGAATTACGAGATGTTTAATATTTTTGGGCTTCATCACGTTCATTGGTTGCCAATATGCTTGCAAGTATATATACTGTGGTTCCACCTTATGCTCGGGTTGCCAAAGCTGCTTTTTTCTTTGTACAATTTGCTTGTTGGATAACGTTTTTCACAGAGGTTTGCACGTCCTTTGACATTTTCTACAGACAGGGAGACATACATGAACTAACATACTGATAGTAACCATTATCATAACAAGTGAAACCAAGTTTGTTTGACAGTGTGTTTGACGAGTTACTTTGCAAAATTTACTTTCATTTATGCTAAAAATACAATGAAACAAAAGAAAAAAAACAATCATCTTAAAAAGTTTTGCTGAACTTAAGCTCAACTATTAAGGGTTTGTGACCTTCGGCGACCAGCTGCACAGTACATTACATAGAAAATAATATTATTCTGGTTTTTGTTTTAGACTAGATACAAAATGTACAATGAAACAGCAAAATGGAAAATCTATTTGTCTCTTTAAAAATTACCTGTTTTTTCTAAACATACTAAACGATTTTCTACCTACAGGGCGGCATGCGCTCCTTCATCAAAAACCCTCACCTTGCTTGCTTGAATGTTTATGTACTTTGTTTATTGCAATGGTTTTATAGGACCCATCCCTCTGTCTGGATAAATAACTCATACCGGTACAGTCTCTTTCCATCAAACACCCTGGCTGACCACTGACCAAACATTGAGCATCTATTCTGCAACCGCAGCGGTATTTGTGCATCCTTTTCTTAAAATGTCTTTCACCGGACGACCTCCTTGATGACCCTTTTGCAATTGTTTTGAAAATGCTCAAAAACATCATGACGTCCACAGAGACGCCTGATCCACGAACGCCTTACCCGCACCCTTGCATGACCTAAGTCACTACTGTTCCCCCTTTTAACTACCGACGGTAGCCTGGCCATACAAGATTCGCCTGACTTAATGGGAGTTTAAAGTTATTTATCAAGGTCACCCTGTAGTAAATGTGCACCTAAGTCGGTGTCGGGGGAATAAGTTTACATAACACTTAAAGTACATAGCACAGGTTTTACACATGTATATATCATGTTGCATATGTAATATACAGAACTAAAGGACACATTTAATGTTTTGAGAGTCAAAAATGTCCTTCATTGCCTGTCTCTTAAATTGGCAATCTTTCCAAGCGTAACGGTGTAGATTGTATCGCTAATTAACCCCCCTTGTTTGGAAAAGGGGCTCAATCTTGAGAAAATTTTCTGACATGACATCGTCGTTATGAAACGCAAATAAACGTAATATCTGGGATAACAAAATGAAATGTCCTGAACTTTATAAGGTTCAATTTACAGCTTTTAAAACGGGTTGGCTGCAGCTTACATGGTGGAAATTATATATATATATACACACAAAAAATACAGCTTCCTTGGCATTTAATGAATGTCTTTTTTTATCTGCAAATAAATATGATTGTTTTCAGTCAACAGTCCCATTTGTAACATAGAACAACCGTGTAAACATTAAATTCGTTTAGTGTTTATAGCCAGAATGTGACTTGCAGCCATGATATGCAATTTACGTTCGCCTTTAAATTCAAATCTTCAACCTAGATTTCATGTTCCACAGCCCAAACGATGAAATTGTATACATTTTAGTATGACTGTTATGACATCGTTAGTGGCTACGGGCTACGGTGACCGCTGGTATACATTATATGTGCGGGTGCCCTGCCATTTCGCCGACATGGCCTTTGGTTCACGAAGGGAATGTTCGGTTTGTTGGTTAAAAATTGGTCGTGCGGTGTCCTTTCGGTTCCAGAGCACTTCCTGTACCTTCGTGGCTTCGTTGAAGATCGATACGTTGTCGGAGCAGATACCTACGATTTTAGCACCTATGTGGTAAAAATGAAAAAACAAAGCAGAACTTCTAATTCCCGCAAGCTAATAACACTAACTTTTAAACATATTTTTATCGTTAAACCTCCTAAAACCGCCAACCATGGAAGAAAAGGGGATCGACAAGAGGTTGAAACAATATCACGATCACTGCAAGTCCACCGAGCAATGCCCGAGGCCTTGAATCCGTAAGATTTTACACGGTCACCTTCTGCTTACGCAAGAAAGGGGATTTAAGGTCAGGATTATTCAACCACAAATGGATATCGCATGGTAAAAGTATTCCAGGTTTGAATTAAGAATGAGTAGCCAAAAGTAGAAACCAAGGTCCCTTCAAAGTCATAAATTTAAATGATAAATGTCCACCCATTTAAAGTTGACAAAATAGGGAGACCTATATAAGATTCCGAAACAATAGTAATAGTATAACGTCATAAGGTTCTTTTAATCTCTTTTACCAAACACAACCACCACACCTGACGTAATTAGGTTTAAGCCAACCCCAACACGGATGGCTATCTAGCCTGCCTGCCCGAAAATATCATGCTTAGGGCAACTAGTGTATAAGTATATATACCCCTGTAGTTATGTAGTCCCAGTATTTTGTTTTGTTAATCTTGTTTACAAGTTAAAGTAGGGTAAAAGTACAGATAAGCCTGAGATAAAATATGACATGGTGATAAATTAAGAGCATTAGTAGACACGCCTAATAGATTTGCAACAAGCACGAGTTAGTACGACCCCGTATAAAACCCGTGTCTCACTGTTAGAAAGGCAGTACCCCGGGGGAGATCGTCAGGGACTGTCCCTGCCAGCGTGCCAGACCTGTATGTGAGGAATAAAGAAGTCAAGTAACACCAACGCTGGATACTGTGTTTCGTCTTGCTACCAGTCACCTCAGAAAACAGTCACCAACCACGGTAACATTTAATATCCCAGAAGACAACACTCATCGTATATGATAATCATACTAGTAGGAAAATGACGCAAGTTACCCTACTCAAGCAAGGCCTGGATAAACAGCCATTGTGTTTGAGAAAGGTTAGTGATATTTCTGATATTAACTCTTTCGTCTCCATGTGCAATTTTGCATGCGCATTTGATCGCGTAGCAATTTTAAGATGGTAATTTATGTCAAAATGTGATCAGATTCAACAAGCAACATCAAATAAGTTTAAAAAAGTAAATGCCGAAATGAAACCTTAGAATTTCGTTGCTCTTCCAGCCTATCGAATACCCACAGCTGACTGGCTCCGATCATTGGAAGCGCAAGATGCGCACCATATTTAGGGCCTTCGACGTAGACGGTGATGGTTGCTTGACAGAAGATGATATGGAGGCGGTCGTTAGACGCACTGCAGAGTATATGAATCTTGATGGTAAATGTATTAATTTTTATTTAAAAGCAACAATGTTGGATTCAAATTTAAGACCTGTTTGGTAACAAAAGTTGTACAAAATTATGTGTCAAAACATTTAGCCATATATTAGGTTAGAAATCTGAATGGGGGAACGAAACTACGCGCTCGCTGGGGTTTTGCTGTCGTTCGCTTCTGGAGGAATTAAAACAGGGTTGGGTCATCTGTGATTACACGTTTCAGATGACAGGCTTTCCTTACGCCTTGTTTTTTTATGAAAAGCAGAGTGTTTTTCAGGTATTTAATCCCTAAAATTGAACGATTTGTATAGTTCACGTGTATGGGAGGTCATATTTTGTACTGAAGTTGAAAACAGAAACGTTGGTAACGCATAATAACCCGTTTTCTTCACCCATCATTATTTGCGACAAATAACAATGTTTGAATTGCTCTGGTGTGCGTGTGCCGTAAATGATCCCTGAAATGACAAAAAAAAAAAAAAAAAAAAAAAACACATTATTATTTCGAGAGCTTTCTTTTCCATCTATGGCATGTCTGTATCCCGGATTTTGAGTGTCATTTTCGGCTAAGAATTAAAAGGGTTCAAATACACAGCAAAGTTTGGGAACACAAAATTGTTTATTATAATAAGACAAATCCATCCACTTTCACATGAAAGCACCCCCTTTGTAATCCAACACATAGGAATATTTTTGCAGACTTTCAAAGATGATCACCCATTGTTGATACCCAGTATCGTGGACGTGCTGATATATCCATTTATCTAATTGTAAATACGCTGTATATATTTCAGACGAAAACACCAACATTCTTCTGAACCAACGCCTTACATACTTGAGAGATGTGAGTTCTAAAGATTCGACAGGAGAAATTAAAGGAAAATTATCCGAGGATGAGTTCGTGCAAAATCACCTCGCCAACATGAATGAAAGCAAGTTCCGAAATATATGGTTTGATGTGCTTTCTTCAAGATTTCAAATGATGGATACTGATGGAGACGGACTTGTGTCTTCAGATGAATATGCCTCTCTTTTCTATAGTTTCAACATCCGTTCTGAGCATTCAGATAAAATATTTGACATCATAGACACTGACAATGACGGTTTCATCTCCAAGGACGACTTCGTTCAAGCACTCACTGAATTCTGGCTTAGCGAAAATCCTGACAACAAATACAATGAATGCTTTGGTCCCCTCGTTGACGTTACAAATTGACATGGTGTTTTCCATCCCCAAAAACTAAATATTCTGCTTCAAATGATTATTAACTTTACGAAAATCACAATATACTACAATGAATAAACAAGAATATTATATCTAATAAAAAATATTCTCTTTAAAGAATCGTTGTTCTTGTGTATCTTATATAGCCACATATAAAAGTGTTTAAGGATATTGTAACCTTTCGCCAAAACTTCTTATTTACTGCCTTACATACATTCTTTTGGGTAATAGATAGGCTATATGTCACAACGGTGACTCCGTTGGAGACTATAGAAACGACATTTTCAAACTAATGCAATTACTAAACTTCTATCATAATAATCAGGGGGTACAATGTGTAGATAATTTATTGTTGATTGACATATTAGAGATAAAATATTTTTAGTGCATCTTATAATACCGGTATTTCGGTCACAGCGACTGTGCTTTTGTTTGTGATGTTGTTGTTATTGTTAAGCTCAGTTGTATATTAAGCCAGAGGTGGGCTTTACTGCAGTGTGGTTTAATGCTGACTGCCTTAGTTGCTGTCGCTCAGTTTCATCGAGTAAAATGCATAGAAATGGATAAAAATTCATGTTTTGTGGATTTCAATATGCGTGCAAACTTGGCCCAAAGGGTGTGCAGACGGGTGGGGCAAGTTCACACTCTTGGACAAGACATTTCTAAAACTGATCGAATTTACTCTGAAAAAAATTACAGTGGACTTTTGTTACTTAAACCATTTAAGGTATATAAATGATCTTCCTCCTGAAAGAAATATAGGAATCTGGAGGTAAAAGTATTCCCTCCATCTCAATTTCTATAAAAAAGGGGCGAACTAACCGCGCCTTCCCCCGAATTAATATTCAGATATGAATGTTATTCATTTCTGGTCCATCACATTCCCTTGTTCTCATTCTTTAATTTACTCTTGTTAACCGGCACTACTCCCCTTTTTGAACTTGAGGATCTTTGTCAATGGTTTGTTTAAATTTAACCCTTTTCTCTTGGCAATTGTTTTTTCTCAGAAGTGTGCGTGTGCACTGCAGTTTTCTCCAGGCTCCATTTTCGTCGCAGTAAAAGTATAGGAACTTAGTCAACCAGTGGACCAAAAAACTCATTATATTTGTTATTTGGTTCCTCTGTAAACGTAAACTCGGTATAACCAAGGGCATATTCTTCAAACGATATTATTCCATCTCTGTTGCTATCTATTGAGTCAAATGCCCTTTTTGCATTTTCAACGGGTATTCGCAAGCTGTAAAAATTGGCAGCGAATTCCTTTTGAGATAATAAACCATCGCCATCAAAGTCCTTGGCATCATATTCCATGGAGAGAAGTTTGGGGTAAAATTCTAATCTGAATGTGCTCTGGTTGACGACCGATATACAGCTCTGCACGTAGCCCGCCTCAGATACTCGGAACGACTCGTCATCACTTGAATCCTGCGCAAGAAGTTTCCAAAAGTTGAGGCGTATGTTTAGAATGCGTTCAGCTTGCTCATCTGAAATCGGTGTCATCATATGATTAGCAAATGCACAGTTATGGACGTTTGTCTGTACAGTAAGAGAGTCTTTTCTTTAAATCTAAATGGAGCATTATTTTTCATGTTTCATATTGGCTTGCGCCCTGCATACAGAAAAGTCAATACAGCATAATATTTTGCAGGGTGCTTTGAAACGTAAACTACTTTATTTAGCTATTACCATCTAGGTTCAAGTACTCTGTTGCTCTCTTAGCACTCGACACGTAATCCTCTTTAGTAAGGTAGCCGTCAGCGTTTGAATCTAGACACTTGAATATCGTGCGCGATTTTCGCCTCCAGTGTTCGGATCCAGTTACCGCCGGGTAATCTATTGGCATCTGAAACGTTGTCATTATCTGACTTACTGTGGATGACAAACAGTTAATTAGTTTGATGATTTACAGATGCATCGATACACGCACGCTGTATATCTAGATACAGTGTATGTAGATGTCATTTGTGTACGGATTGTAATATAAGCTAAGGACCAAACATCCTATTTTTTTTTTTCGAACAACGTTGAAATCCAGTGGGATTTGCATTTAATTGGCTTTCTTATAAAATGATTTAAAAAAATAGGCCTAGAACGTTTTAATCATCACATTATTTTGCCTGTTATCAATGTTATCAAACTACATGTATGTTAGATACTAAACGACTAGACATTCAAATATAGGGGCCGTTCAGAATGAGTTACGTTGCAATAGCTACTGCGCACTTACTCTACGGAGACTCCACCTGAATGCAGTCAGGGCCCGTATCTCGAAAGCTTCGCTTATGGCGAGCGTGCGCAAGCATGGCGAGCGTGCGCTACCCCATATCTCGAAAGCTTCGCAAATCGCGGCCGTGCCCTAATGGCGAAATCACCATTAGTTTCGAGGCTATTATTTGCGGCGATACAAACTAGTCGCAATGGGGACTCCACCTGAATGCAATCAGATTAACAGACAAATAGGCCACCTCCTGGCGAGTAGAATGCCTAGAAGCCGGTTGTTATACGAGTACGTTGGAAACAAGAGGAGGACAACTGGATTCAGGCTGACGGCTTACAACAGTCGTTATGTCGGTTATATATAATGACTTCATATAGAACAGCACATTCAGAACAGATGATCCGTGGACTAACTGATCCGCCGACTTAATAAGGCCGATCCACTGTAATTTCCTGATGGTCTCAGTACGTGCTTCCACACGCAGGGGTCTTGCAATTAAACCTCAGAGCCGAGAGTTGATCCGTTTAATGGCGCGTGTGGAGGTGGTGAGACCATCAGGGAATTAGCGGCATCGCTTTTTAGTGGGGTCGGCCATATTTAAGCGGCGGTTCAGTTAGTCCGCGGACCATCTGTTCTGAATGTACTCATACACGCTTGACAAGCGTAGACAAGCGTACAGTATAACACGAATCACACCAATAAGTAAATAAATGAGAGAGAGAGAGAGAGAGTTTAATTCATAAATAAGCATAAGCATCACTCAAAGTAAACTTATGGTAAATAAGTAAGCACACGCATTTACTTTCAAATATACAGGAAGCCATGTGTAAGTAAAAGATCATGCCTTTAATTAACTTCCACTTACCTTCTTCAAACGCAGAACTTTATTCGTAAAAGCTCGGACAGGTTGAAAGCCCGTAACGAATCGAAGTAGCGGACCATTGACCTCACTCTTCAAAGATTGAATATTTCTTGCTAGCACCGGAAATGATTGGGTAATCCTAAGATAGTCCCTACAAAGTTGAGCAACCTTGGCCATTTTGAGCATCATGGACCACGGTATTCACGAGTCTCGTTAATCTATATCAGGTTTTCTCAACGTAAATAGTGCGGCACTGGACGCATGCCAGCCTGGGATAACCGGTCGTCGACAGGACGCATTATTATGTAGACGTGACCGGAATGCTAAGGTTTAATAGGCCAAGGGGCGATAAAGTGAATCCGCCATCCGCAAAGTGTGTAATGTACTCCTTGACGCCGGTAGTCATTGAGGGCCCTAGTCAAGAGGGACATCACAGTGAGCTTACAATGAGCTCATACAATGGGTTATGATTTAGGTCACTGTGACGTCTCTGTGAAGGCTTTGTAGCTACAGTGTAATGATCTAATTATTTTTTACCTATTGGTGAGGTCTCTGTGAGCTCATATTGTGAGGTCACTGAGAGCTTATGTTGTTACCTGACACCGTGAGGCCTCTGGAAAACCTTGTGTAGCGTCCAATATCTTAACAAACGCAGGTTGTCTGTTTGAGCCTTTATTGATCCACTACAATAAGATACGTTCTGAAATAATAATAAATAAAGATACTTAACATCTATACTTCGTGATCCTTTTCAATATGACTTACTTATATAATGACTGAATGTCACTGTTATTAAATCAATTTCTTTTATAAGTGCATTACAAAGTTAAGAAGAAACAAATTAATTCCAAAATTAAATGATAACATACATAAACTAGCTACTCACTAGACTTGTCTAGCCTCGACTTGTGAAACATGACAAAATACCGTAACCTTTGTCTGCTGACACTGTAATAAATATAAAACAACTTCATGAAATTATGTAGCTAGCTGAGATAAACATACTCAATATCTAAGGAAAGAAAATAAACGTAAACTAACAGGCCTGACAAAGTTTGTTTGTTAACCACGCCTAATACATTCATGCATTATAACACGTGTTCTTAAAATGCCTTTACATTACTTGCAAATTTATATGTTAATTACGTAATGAGCTATAAAATAGGTCTAGTAACCAAGCAACATATTTAAAATGAGTTTTAAGAAAGGACCGGGCAAATACATACTGTACTTATTTGTCTTTTTTCCTACTTTCTCTTCATACGTGCGAGTGTTGCGTCCCCCGTGAATCTGAACGTGTGCATCTCTCCCAACTTACGAATCTCTTTCTTCTAAAGATCATTTTCTCAGCCAAATACATAGCAATTGCACCGAATGCAGTATGTGAGACTACATGTGGTAATTACTTTCCCTTAAACACGGGATATAGAATTCTAGCCACTACACCTTGTAAGCTAGTAGCTAGTTCTCTGTGAACTCATACTGTTAGGTCACTGTGAGGTCTGTGAGCTGATACTCATGCTATTAGGTCACTGTGAGTTTTCTGTGAACCCATACTATTAGGTCACTGGGAAGTCTCTGTGAGTTCATACTATTAGGTCACTGTGAGATCTCTGTGAACTCATAAGCCTACTGTCATGTCACTGTGAGTTCTCTGTGAACTCATACTATTAGGTCGACCACTGTGAGTTCTCTGTGAACTCATACTGTTAGGTCACTATTAAGTCTATGTTTTTTTAGATCTAATATTTTAGTTATTATTTTAGCCTATGTTGGGGTCTCTTTGAGCTTAATATCTTATTATTATCTTTTTAGGATTTTTAAAAAGTAATTAAAAAGAAACAAACGTGGTCATTTCATCATAATTTTTGTAATGTGCAGCCGAGACAAAACGGACCAGAAAAGCGCTAACACTAATTTACTGCTTAATGAGAGCAAGCCACTGTGCTTAAATTAACATAACGATGTATATTTCAAAAACTTTGTTAAACAGATGTGCATTATATGGTCAAGTGTTTAGATATTAAAGCAAGTATATAATATACAGGTATAATACATAAAATTTACACATATGCTCGTACTTGTGGACTTGTCTGTTTCTTTTAAACAACGCCATTACAAATTAATGAGTCTATTTGTTACAGTTTCGTTTATTGAGACTTATTACTCAAACAATTCCAAAACAAATCGTACATTTCATTCCATCTAATTATTCTAACAGTTGGAATAGTTGCATGAAAAATACTGGTCCACACGCTCGGCTTGGGAGTTTAACTGCCTTGATGAACGGCCAATAAGACGCGCTCGAAAATGAATCCATGCGCCATGGATATATTTTGTGTTCAAATGATTCTTAATAATAAAGAAACTGAAACATGAAAGAGCAATTAGGTAAAACTGACCGTGGTAATACCAAAACTTAACTTCCATCTACGTTCAATATTGTTTGTTAATGGCATTACTTAATCAACAAGTGGACCATAAAAATTATTGTATTTGTTGTTTGGATCTTCGGTAAGCCAGAACTCAAGAAAACCTTCTGCAAACTCTTCAAATGTGATGAGACCATTTTTGTCTGTGTCCATTATAGCAAACATTTCATTTGAAAATTGCTTTGGGACCTTTAAGCCGTAGAAAAAGGCAACATGCTCATCCTTAGAGACAATGCCGTCGTCATCAATGTCCATCATCTTAAAGTCCCCGGAAACGAAGCCATGGTACAACTCTGGTCTAGAGCGGCTTTGGATGGTGAGTGAATGGATGCTCTGCAGGTATTCATCCTCAGTGAGTTTGTTTTTGTTTCCAGCAATTCCTTCCCAGCGATGAAGGCATTTGTCTATAACGTGATTTGCCTTTTCACCTAATAGTAAAACATACGCTCGAACAGTTTCAACAAGTTTTTTGTAATCAGAGAATCAGGTCTTATAGGCGAATTTTTCGTTTGTGATGTCGAGCCTCGGATTTGTGATCTCGAACGCCCGGATTAACGACTCTAACCATGGTTTCAGGGCACGAACGTAAAACTGGTGTCCACGAGCACCGCATTACAAACAACAAACTGTTAATCCGCTTCGGTACATTCCGCAATTGCCGGGGATTGTCCAAAACGCATTACTCCTGTATTAATACGCGCCGTTTGATACTTGATTTCAGAAATTCATCAGTTTGATTTCTTTTGAAGAGTTTTTTAATTTAGTTTTAAATCTATTTCAAAGCAAATACATGCATGCTGCAGACAGTAAAACTTCCACAGCAGCCGTTGCAATGTAAACTGTGGGCTTTTGTGTATTTTCCACACCACTCACGTATTTAATCTAGTTTAAGCTTTAAGTGACCTCAGCATCTATCATCATTTTCCTCATTAGATTATGTTTATGAAGCTGTACCCACTTTATCAAGCCTTGCTGTAGACTTCATTCTTTCGTTAAAGAATTAGTTACACTCTTTCGACTAGGTATCTCCAAAGCTCTAACGTGCAGTTTCTTTTAACTTCCGCCATATTGATAATAGTTCGGGGTGAAGAGAAAAACATGTGTACAGCTAGAGAACCGGATGAAATTTGGCCGAACAGTTCGTGTTCTTTTGATGCACTGCTTATTGTCACTATAACTATAAGTTCGTGCCGTGAAATCATGGTTTGAGACGATAATTTGGGAGTTCACAAATCTGAGGCTCGTGATCGCAAACGAGAGTTATTTTTATGAGGCATAATAATGTTTCCAGGACATTTATGCAGCAATAAAGTGAGACACACACTTCAATCGCCTTACTTTTTGTCAGTGCAGAGTGAAATTCAACAAGGTGTGATATTTTAAGATACAAAAAAAAATGGTGCCCTCTCTTATTAATTTAAACAGTTCAATTTTTGTATTTCCTGATAACTGTCTATTAACGAATCAGCAAAAATGGATAAGGAGATCTTTATTAATGAAATGTTCACGTACCATCAAGGTTCCTAATTTCCGCAATGCGCTTCCCAAGGGCTATAAAATCTTCTTCAGTTACGTATCCATCAGCGTTTGAGTCATACCGTTTATACAAATTACGAACTTTTCTCTTCCAGTGTTCAGATCCAGTAACATATGGAAAATCTGAAGGCAGCTGAAATAATATTAACCTTTTTCTCAATTTCCTTTGATCTATTTACTCAATTATGGTTACTATTGTATCAAAGGCTCATGTATTATTATTATTATCATTATTATTATTACAAGTGTTACTACTACTACTACTGCTACTTCTTCTACTACTACTGCTACATGTACTAATACTGCTACTACTTCTATTACTGCTTTGGAACATATAAATCTAAAGTTCAAAATAAAAGGAACCGTGTTCCAACCTGGCTTCTATTCAGTATCCCTTATTATTTCTGAGTATACGCGTTTTATGTACATGTTGATGGTATATTGGTGAGTCTATTTAAAGGTCCTATGCAGCTTATATACATATTAAGTATTCTTTCTTGCCCATTAAAATATAAAAAGGGCCAACGATTAATATCATCACAATATGTACTTTGAAATATTCATGGTATTCGGTTTTCCTCCAGTACCTTTATAGACGTTCAAAAAGAAAAAAAACTTTGAGTATCTGAAAAACTCTACTGCGACTAATACCAAAAATAATTCATTTTTAGTCGACTTACTCTTCCAAGACGCAGTGTCCCAGTTGTCAGCCTCCGGGCAGGTTGTGGGTAAGGCTCAGGTTGGAGGGCATTATTTAATCTCGAGGCAGGTTGAACGAGTTTTGTTAATCCCCAGCTCAATTTGATACCCCGAACTAAACCCCAACTACGCAATGCGGTATTTGACATGAACAACATTTTGAATTAGGAAACACTCTGGTCTCTCCGATCACTTTTAATACCTGTCTACAACAGCTAAGTCCTTTGCCTTTATGTTACCCCAAACAGCTAGTTGCTTAAATGTAACAGGACCAACCAACCTACATGTAATATAAGACGATGATCATTTATCCACATGCGAAAGAGTATCATTTTATTTTCAAAAGGTGCTATGTTACAGTACACATAACAAGTTACAATAAGAAAAAGAGGTGAACGTTCGGCGACCCATGTGACATTGAATGATTCAAACGACTTCAAAAGTATCTTATGACAGCCTATAAGTATGGCGGTGCATTTATTATAAATTCCAGGCTCATCTGACTTTTATAAAACTCGTATGAGCATATATCATTATTATTATTATTATCATTATTATTATTATTATTATTATTATTATTTCATGTAACAAGGCATTGAAATTCGGTGATAGCATTTTTTCTTAGCCTACACGATGTGATTGTGTTTGACCGCAATGAAAGGTGAAAAACAGAACTGAACTTGAACAGTGAATATTTGTCATTACCACAGTCAATTTTATCGAAAGTTTTGTGACGAATTCCGCAGTTAACTTCTTAATTATATCTACTTAATGTATAACTTTTAACTCTATTAATGAGTATAGAATGTAACGGGAGAATAAGTGGAAGGTCAGAATGAATATTTCACAAACTGTGAGCGTTATTATGCGACTAAGAGAGTCATATTTCTGCAAAATGATTTATCAACATCGTAAAATCACCTGACATAGGTCATCAGCATGAATAAGGTGCTACAATATGGGCATGATGGAATTTCAATTCTTTACACTTTTAGGTGTGTTCGGTGAACCAGACTCTAATGTCACATTCATCATTTTACATAAGGGTGAGATCAACATGTGGAACCCTTCACGTAAAGATGTAAGTTAAACATTTAGTGCGTAACGGAGGAGTTTGAAGGGTCTATTTACGTGGCCTTGATATCTTACCACAATACCCATTTAAACTGTTGCTGCCTTGGATGTGACGTTACAGATCCCATGATAGAGAGTCCGGTTCCCATTAATTTGAGCGGCTAAGCCTCGCCCTAGATTTTGACCTGCTTACGGCAGGCTAACCCTTAATTACCTGTTCAATTACAGGGTTACTACTTAATTTGGAATATTATTTTTTGGCGAGACAATTTTCTACAAAATATTTATTTTCTCTCTAACTGTTTTAAATCATAAACTGAGGTGTCACTCCATGTGTAGCCAGGTGTGTTACCTAATTACCAGACAACTCTCAAAACAATAAAGGGTACCGGAGGAGACGAGAAGTTAGTTAAAATTGTGCCGGAAGGGTGATGCATGTGACGTAAAGTGGTGTTAGAAGCGAAGCTGAGTGATCAGAGCCTGTCAGAATGTCACCTTTGTCTTGGCATTTGTCACTTAATTAGTGCCTACCCCGGTGTAAAAGGTGTATTAGTGTGATCATATGTGTGGAATTTCATGTCAGGTGGACATATATATATCTAAAGATTCGTCACAATATCAAAAAAAGATACATCTTTGCACAGCAGTCGTACACGGTAGATCGATACGATTCAGTTGTTAGTTACCAACTACTTCCTGGTTTTCACAAGGTCCTTTAAGACCTCTAAAACATCGTTATAATTGCAGCACATACCACAGAACACCAAAAAATACTTAGATATGGACATATCAGATTATATTAATGCCAAAATTCCACATTACAAAGATTAATAGCCTCCCAGGAATTCTTTTTCCTTGACGCTCTTAATTTGTCGCACTGGCGGTCGATATAGCATGCATTTCAAAACAAATTGACTGCAAATTGAGCACGATTTTCACCTTCAAGTTCCGTGTCACGTTTTCATATCATGCACCTATTATTTCTTTAAGTATTCTCTGCCCAAAATGCGTAAAGAAAAAGTGTTATCTTACCATGTTGTTTGGAAAGCTTCTTTTTCCTCCGACTACAAGTCTTCTCTCCCGTTTACCTCCAGCTTAAAATGACCACTCAGCTTCGCTTCTAACACAACTACACGACACTTCCGGGCACAATCAGTCTCCTTCGGTCCCCTTTATTGATGCATGCAGTTGCATGTTCTGTGGTCAGAAATGTGAGGGGTGGTCTTTTCGGCAATTTCTGCCTTTGTATAAAATCGCACGGGTTTGGCCAATCTTTGGAGTGTATTTAGAGAAAGCAACGAAGCAATCGCTCTGAAACTTGACAGGTACCTTAGAGAAGAAATGGTTTGACAGCTTAGCGTCGCAGTTTACTATGGGATTATTGCTCTCAGAGAAAATGGCCAGAAACGGAGAGCAATTGCCAGGCAATGCAACATTTATCAGGAACCGCTAGTAAAGTCCTCCAAAGAAGTGCTACAACAGGGACATGGTCGTACAAAGACAACCAGTGTCCTCAGAAAAGAGTGGCAGAATGTCATTCAAACGACCGTTTCAAGGTCCCTCGTGTACAGATTTGACATACTGTAATTGACCAAAATACAGGGTTGCTACTTAATATGGAATTTTTTTTATCATTGTTATTTTTGAGTGCTGATTAAACTTTTTTTGGCTTGAGCTATTAAAAAAGTATGTCACTGATAATAACATCCAGTCTTCTGTTGTGAGATATTTTGGTCAATAATATCAAATCTGACATAAGATGCCATTCAAAAGAAAGGAACACCCCCAGAAAACCATATCAACAGTTTGATGTCATTATAAACTTTAAGATAAGATATTAAAGAAAATGATAGCCTCCGGACAGTGATATGTTACACAGTCAAAGAACTCACTACAGTAATTCATGAACAGTCAGTAATTGCGGGTATGACCTCCAGCAGCCGCTTGCAGCGCCCTCATCCTACATGGCATACCCTGTGACACGTTTTTTTAGAGTTTGGGTGGGGATATCATTCCACGCAGTGAAAGTTGCCTGTGGCAGTTCATCACTATTTACCGGCCGAGGACAATAGCTATTAATACTGTGAGTTATTTCCGCCCACAGATTTTCAATTGGGTTCATATCTGGAGAGTTTGCAGGCCAGGGCAGTTGCTGAACCCATTGGTTTTGAAGAAAAACAGTGATTCTGCGGCCTCGATGTGGTGTTGCGCAGTCGTCTTGGTACACAAAGACGACTCTTACAAATCGAAGCATTGTTTGCTGTAGAATGTCTCTGTAGGAACCCTGGTTGAGGTTGCCTCCTAGATAAACCAACTGGTTCTGGGCACCGGCATGGAATGCTCCCCAAACAGAGACGTTACCACCCCCTGCTTGCACCTTAGGCAGTACACAATCATCGTTTTATGCCCCACGTACACGTCGGTGGACACGGATTCGACGATCAACCCTAAAAAATCCACATCTGGCCTCATCACGTAAAACGACGTGATTCCAGTGTTTTGGCTGCAAACGCACGTGGTCTCCAGCCCATTGCAGACGTCGCTGTATATGACCTGCTGTTAACAGTGGTTTGCCTACTGGCCTTCGTGCAAAATAACCGGCTTGCAGTAATCTCTTGTTCACGAGGGACCTTGAAACGGGCGTTTGAATGACAGCCATTGCCAGGTAATTCACCATTTATCAGGAACCGTTTGTGAAGTTCTCCAAAGAAGTGCTGCAACAGGGGCACCTACTCCAATACCTCGACCAGAGTGTCTGCGTATCACATCAAGAAGACAGAATCGCCTTCTCCTTAGAGGACGCCGTGCTGGTCGGACAAAGACAACCAGTGTCCTCAGAAAAGAGAGGAAGAATGTCATAGAGCATTCCCTAATGTGCCCACTCACAGACGTGCACTGATATTTGGGTTGTCTTATATGTTGTCTGTGAACGGTCATTCTATGTCGAAGAGTGTCTCCAGTTTGTCCTATATAGTTCTTACCACATCCACTGCAAGTTAATACATAAATTAAATTTGAGCTAGTGCAGGTAAATGCAGTTTGATTGAATGTAACGGGACCTTGGAAAGAAGAATTGGCGAATACTAAAACAAAACACTCATACTGTTAGGTCACTATGAGATCTCTGTGAGGCTCATACTGTTAGCTATAGGTCACTTTTAGGTCTGTGTGTTCTTCGAGAGCTAATATTTTAGTTATTCTTTTAGCTTATGTTGAGGTCTCTGTGAGCTAAATATCTGATTATTTTCCTTATAGGAATTTTAAAAATAATTAAAAAGAAACAAATGTGTTTCTTTCATCAATTTATTGTAATGTGCAGCATAGACAAAACGAACGAGTTTAGCGCAAACGCTTTATTCATTGCTTTATGAGAGCAAGCCACTGTGCTTAAATTAACGTAAGGATGTATACTTCATAAACTTTGTTAAACAGATGTACATCACATGGTCAATTGTTTAAAGATTAAAGCAAGTATATAATAAACATGTATAATATATAAAATGCACACATATGCTTTTCACAGTTTTCACTTGTGGACTTGTCAGTTTCTTTTCGACATTATCATTACAAATTAGTGAATCTATTCGTTTCAATATTATTTATTGAAACTTATTACCCAAACAATTACAAAATTACAATAAATCATACATTGCTCTTCATCTAATTATTCTAACAGTTGAAATAGTTGCTTGCAAGATACTTTATTTAATCTACGTCAATTCACTCTTTGCCATGCCTTGTCCACCAGCTCGGCTTGGGAGTTTAACCTTAACGGCCCATGGGAAGCGTTCGAATATGAACACATACGTCATGGATATACTTTGGGTTCAAATGATTCTTAATAATAAAGCAACTGAAACACGACAGATCAATTGTGTAAAACTGACCGTACTATAATCAAAACTAAACTCCCATCTTGGCTGATGTTCCATATTGTTTGTATATGGCATTACTTAATCAACAAGTGGACCATAAAAATGGTTGTATTTGTTGTTTGGATCTTCGGTAAACCAGAAATCAAGAAAACCTTCTGCAAACTCATCAAATGTGATGAGACCATCTTTGTTTGTGTCCATTTCCACAAACATTTCCTTTGAAAATTGCATTGGTACCTTCATGCCGTGAAAAAAGGCAACATGCTCATCCTTGGATGCAAGGCCATCGCCATCAATGTCCATCATCCCAAATTCCGCGGAAACGAACCCATGGTATAACTGAGGTCGAAAGCAGCATTGGATGGTGAGGGAATGGATGCTCTGCAGGTAGTCATCCTCAGTGATTTTGTTTTTGTTTCCAGCAACTCCTGCCCAGGTATGAAGACATTTGTCTATAATTTGCTTTGCCTTTTCACCTAATGGAAAAAATATACGCTCGAGTCGTTTCATTTAGTTTGTTGTAAAGTTATAAAGAAATGGAAAGACGCAGCGTCCAGACAAAGAATCAGGCCTTATTAACGAATTAACCGTTTGCGAAATCGAGCCAAGGTAGACGTCAAGAACCACGTGTCTTTCGTTAAATAATTAGAAAGAGGTGAAAAAGTTTAATTCTTTCGACAAGGAATTTCCGAAAGCTGTAACAAACGTGCAGTTCCTAGTTTCTTCTGCCACTATAACTTCGTGCCATGAAATGGTGGTTTGGGTATCAGGACAACCCCCCTCCCCCCGAACAATTCCTCTCGGACGACCCCACCACCTCGAAGAATATATATTTACATAATATATAAAGTACAGAGTATAAAGTTCAAATCTTACCATCCATTGTATGATTGTGATGATACACCCGAGGATAGAGAATATTAATTTTATTAAACAAATTATTTTCATGGAGTACAAGTACAAAAAATTTCAGAAATAGAAGTACAGAAAAATTTTATAAAAAAATCTGATCTATCTCCAGGTAAAATTTGGTAATCAAATGATCTCACACATCCAGGTAACCTTTTGATAAATTAACTGTTACTTGTAATTGCTTCCAGTAATGATCATTACTTCCCCCTGATTAAGTAAGCCTTGAATTAAGGTGCACCTCTAGGGAGAGGTGGGGTAAACATATTTCTTCACTTATCCAGGTATCCACTTTTAATTGCTTAACTACTACCCACCTACTCACTACCCACCACGCTAAAAATATTCATAAAATATGTTTACCTGTTCATCTGTTTACCCCACCTTTACCTGGAGAACAGGTGGTTATACTTTGATTAGATATTTAATAGTACTTTCTCTACTTGTACTCAATGAAAAAGGAATTTGTTATAAAATAATTTGTTTAATTGACTATATTCTTTAGGAAGGAAAAGCGTCCGGGGGAATTGTCCTAGAATGGTAGTTCGAGACGATAGTTTTAGCGTTCGTGTTCACAAATCTGAGGCTCGCGATCGTGATCGCAAACGACAATTATTGTTTATGGCACATGGCAATGTTCCTAGGGCATTTATGAAGCAATAAAGTGACACACACTGAAACTTCAATCGCTTGACTTTTAATAAATGCTGAGAAATTAAACCAGGTGTGCTCTTTTGAGTTATTCAATTAACCGTACCCATGAACAGCACTTCTCTTTGTATTCTATGTATACGGTTCAATTTTGTGTTTCCTGACATTGTTATTTTTATTAAAATTAATAAATGCATCTTCATAATTTGTACACGACCCGTATATTTGTGCACGTACCGTCAAGGTTCCTAAAGTCTGCCATGCGCTTCCCAAATGCAACATAATCTTCGCCAGTTACGTATCCATCAGTATTTAAATCAAAACGTTTAAACACACTACGAACTTTTCTCTTCCAGTGTTCAGATCCAGTGACATATGGCAAATCTGCTGGCAGCTGAAATGATATTAACTTATTTTCAGTTGTCTTTATTCTACCGGTATTTACTCAGTGATATATATATATATATATATATATATATATATATATATATATATATATATATATATATATATATATATATTATTATATGTCTTACTACTACTACTACTACTACTACTACTACTACTACTACTACTAGTTTGGAACATCTAAATTCAAAGTTCAAAATAAAAAGAACCTAGCTTCTATTCAATACCCCTTATTTTTTTTTCTGAAATCACCCGTTTTATGTACATTTAGATGGTCTATTGATGGGTCTATTTAAAGGTCCTATGCAGCTTACGTTTGTTTCCATTATACAGGATACAAAATGGGTAAAGGTACAACTTCTTGTAAGTACATATTAAGTATTCTTTCTTGTCCATCATAATATAAAAAGGACCAAAGATTAATATCATCAAAATCTATTCATCTCCGGCACTTTGAACATATTCATGTACAAGTATTCGGTATTCCCTCAGTACCTTTTAGACATTCAAAAAGAAAAATACTTTGAGTGCATCTGCAAAGCTGTACTGCACTTAATATCATTTTATTCATTTTCAGTCGACTTACTTTTCCAAAATGTGGTGTTCCGGTTGTCAGTCTCCGGACAGGTTGGAAGCAATGTGCCTTAGTTTGAAGGACATTCCTTATTCTCAAGGTGAGACGAACAAACTTTGCTAATCTCCTGCTCGATTTGATATCCCGAACTAACCCCCAACTGCGCAATGCAATGTTTGACATGGCCAACATTTTCAATTAAGAAACACTCTGGTCTCTCCGGTCACTTAAAAATATCTGGCGACAACAGATAAGTCCTTTGCTTTTTCTGTTACCCCAACCAGCTACTTGCGTAAATGTAACAGGACCAACCAAACTACATGTAATAGGAAACGATGAACATTAACCCCTTTTTAAGACTAAGCGTGCGCGAAGGTATCATGTTCAAAAAGGTGTTATGTCACAGTACACAAAACATATAGCAATAAGAATAATAGGTATTCGGCGACCCATTGGCCTTAAGTGATTCAGACGACTTGAAAGGTATCTTTGACAGCATATAAGTATGTACACACACTGGACAATAGAAGTGTCACCCTACTGAACCAGTGGAATGATATGCTCCTGGTATCATTTTATTAACATCAAATTTCACAAAAAGATCAACAATACAATTCCATGGTACAGCGGTTTTATACTCATTAGTCACAAGTAGACCAGGCATTATAACGTTATAACTCTGATTCAAGGGGTGAAACTTCTATTGTCCAGTGTGTGTAGGTGCATTTATTATAAGTTCCAGGCTCGCTTCAGCTATGGTATTATTATTATTAGTATTACTATTGTTATTGTTATTTTTATTATACCACTTAACAGGACATTGAAATTCGGCGATGGCACTTTTTTCTTAGACTACAATGCGATTGTGAAAAGTGGAAAACAGAACTGAACTTGAACAGTGATTATTTGTCATTGCTACAGCCAGTTTTATCAAAAGCTTTGTGGCAAAATTCGCAGTAAACTTATAAATTATATCTACTTCATGTATAACCTTTTTTGTAAAATATGCCATCATTTAAGCAGGGTTCTCCACAAGAAGCGATCTCATGAGTTGAGCCAAAATAACGCACACATTTTGTTTAATATTTGCAAAACTGTTTTAAATTAAAATAATTACTTGTTATATAACTCTTGATTTTTTTAAAGATTGAATTATCGAGTATGTAATGAAACGGGTAAAATAAAGCGTAAGGTTAGAATAAATATTACACAAACTGTGGGCGTCACTAACGTGACTAAGAGGGTCACTTTTTGCGGAATGATAAATCAAGATCGTAAAATTACCAGACAGGTCATTAGCATGAGTAAGCTACACGTAGGTGCAACAATATGGGCATGATGGAGCTTTAAGGTTTTTCCACTTAAGAGGTGTTCGCTGAACCAGACACTCACGTCACATTCATCATGTTTTACTTAAAGGTGACATCAAGATGTGGAACTCTTCACGTACAGATGTTAGGTTAAACATTTTGATCATAACAAAAGAATTATAGGTGTCTATTTACGTGGCCTTGATATCTAGGCACAATACCCATTTAAACTGTTGCTGCATTGGATGTGACGTAATTTGCACGGGTAAACCTCGCCCTAGGTTTTGACCTACTAACGTCAGGCTAACCCTAACCTGTTTAATTAAATGGAAGGTGGACTCTCTGTTACACGGACCCTCAGTTTCGTCACACCGGGACATGTATTATTTTTATTTTTTGGTATCGTGTTCCAATATGTTTTGCAGTGATTCAGTAATCGTAACGTATGTTTTTCTGAAAAATGTCCGAAAAAGACTATATTTGTACTTGTCCAAGCACTTAAGGCAATAGGTAACAGGGATTTTATATTGAGAACTGAAACATCTTCATTTAGTGTGTGGTTTCATATTTCTGACATAATTGATGCACCACGAATAAAAAATAGTTTATTTAGTGCTCCTTTTATTGTTGAAAATGCAGCATATTTTTATAACGTTTTTATAACAATTTAAAATCACGCAAAAATTAATCAATCTTTACTAAAGATTATCATGTTTATTTTACAACTTTATACTGGTCGGAAATAAGGACGATAGGCCTAACCAGTGCTGATCAGATTTTCAAAGTGAGTAAACTACCTCTGCAGCATAATGTTTTCCATTTGTGATAGCAACTTATGTGCATTTTGGGGGTAAGAAGATGATTTTTAAATTATAATTTATGGTTTTAGGGCAGTGAAACTTTGATACGAACTTATGTGATACCGTAAATTATCAATCACAGATAATATGTGCACTCAATATTTTAAATGCATGTGTGTAACTTCATTTGCACCTCTACAGTGGATTTGTGCGTTTCACAAACTGGAGTGACGGATAAAAAAAAAGTCAAATTTGAGACCTAATGTGTAGTTTTAAGCTCGTTTATGGCTGATTAAGTGATTGCTTTGGTTTATTCTTTAGCAGTTTTATATATGAGTCGTGTAAGAAACTAGTAGTCGTGATTTACGTGCGTTATAGGCAATCTACGCTCGCTTCATATGTAACTGAACAAAGCTGTTGTTTAAAGACAAGGCGCCTTTTTCTCGAATATTTTTAAAATGAAAATTAAAGAATACATATAGATAATACATAATAGTAACAAGAGTGATAATAATGGCGATAATCATAATAGCAATACTAGTAACAATATACATAATCTCACGCACACATACTTCTTCGTTATACAACGGTGCAAATATACATTAAAGTCGGCAGTTGGGACATGAAAATATGTTGGTGAAATGCGCAAGTTTTTTCACTCAAGCTCATGTTTAATTCACAAGTGCGCATGCAAGATAACACAAACGTATGGTGGAATCTTCATACACGTATCAGCACACCCGTCAAAAACTCCAATATTTTTGAAAACACCAGGGGCGCGGATTTCCTTCAACAGCATATGGAAGACGCCAAAGTACGCATTTCGTTCATGTTAATGTTTTTCGTATAATAATAAACGTTTTTGAGATACCACATAATATTTCAGAAAAACCTAGCGTGTTGTAGCCAAAACTCAACTTCTATTTGATTTCTGGTCCGTAAAAAGTGTTATATTTGTTGTTCGGATTTTCGGTAAACCAGAATTCGACATGACCTTCTGCAAACTCTTCAAATGAAATGATGCCATCTTTGTCTGTGTCCATAATGTTCCAATGGCTTTAAAGTAAATAGACTCGAACTTCAAGCGGACGCCAAACATCTCTGTAAATACTCATAGCAACGAGACCTGCTCCTTCAAAATATCCAAATTACCAAATTCATGAAAGTCAGGGCTCCATATGTTAAAACAATAATATGCGTTTCCTTTGGCTGATCATTTTACACATCAGTATAAATGAATAATGTTAAAATGTTAAATTGTTCAGTCGAGAATACGTGTATACGTGTACGAATGCGTGTATGCATGTACGTGCACTTACCGTCGAGATTCATATATTTTGCAATGCGCTTCCCAACGGCCACATAATCTTCGCTCGTCAAGTATCCATCAGCATCTACATCTATGTGTTTAAACAAACCCCGTACTTTTCTCTCCCAGTGGTCAGATCTCGTTACTGGCGGGTAATCTCCAGGCAGCTGAAATGTGTTGTTGACTGGTATTTAAATCATTCCAAAATGAATACTGTTGCATTATATACATGTTTATATGATTCGTTTTATCTTCGTTCTTTTTACTCACCTGTGGTGCATGTGTATTACTTATTCATGTTTTTTTTCTTATTACTATTATTATTATTAAGTTTGCTAGTGAATTCAAAAATTAATATCAGAATAGTCTGTAGTTATTTTGTACTTTGACTAGTGTGTCTGGCAGTCGCTATATTATTGTTTATTTTGACGCATCTGAGAAAGGACTTAAAATATTCGGAACCTAACCACTGTGATCAATACTATCGAACACCTATCGTTTTTACTTACTTTTCGAAGAGTTTGGTTTGTCAATCCACGGACAAAACAGAAGTTTGGCTCAAGACCTGGGACTAACCTAGGTTGGCAGTTGGGACTTAATCTTAAGGGATGCTGAACGGTCCTTGATAATCCCCGGCTGTGTTGGATTATCCTTAATAGTCCCAGACTACGTATTGCAGTGTTTGACATAACGGATATCTTGAACTGGGATGCAATCTATCAGGTTTTTATCTGTATCTAGCAACAAAAGTGTGAAACTTCCTTCTATCTTTACCCGCAACTAGCTGCATGAACGTGACGTGGACTTGAAAACAGATATCAAGCTACGGCACGATCAGTGAACCATTCCTTGATAGAAACTAATCCCTTTTCCGTAAGTTACCTCCATCAAAACGTGTTTTTTCTCAATATACCTACACAAGGCGGTACGTCTGGTAACAATGAGAAACATGGGTAACTCGGTGGCCCGCAAGCCCTTGTTATGGTGTTACCAACTTTGAGTTACGGCAACCTAGTGCACGTTTCAAAACGAAATTGGTACTATATAGTCTCCTTTAACACTTGAATATCATAGCGCTAATGTCTTCATCGCTTTTATTGAATTTAACGGGACCCTGGAATGAAGAAATCGCACCTTGCATAAAGGAACAGCGTGCGTTGCAATACATTTGATGCTGTAATGACTTATCGTAAACACCCTCATTGAACAAGTCTCGAGTACGCCTGTGTGTGTGTGTGTGTGTGTGTGTGTATCTGTGTGCATATTGATAGTGTCGGTGTGTGTGTGTAGGGGTGGCGGTGGTAACAATCTAGCGTGGGTGGGAGGGGTCCCCTACCTGCTTCACGCGCCTACCCTACGTTACATCATAATGTTTATATGGCGCACCGCGTCATACCCTCGCTGTGAGTGCAATCTTATTTAAAATAATTCTTCATTTTAATGTTTTTTTATTATTTAATATACAAATTAATACATGATAAATTCTTTTGTGGACCTGTGTTTGCTTTTTCAAGTAACCACTTTTCATTTCGGGAAGTGAATGCAGCATCTTTGTGGGTTTAGTTTGCATTAGTTCAAATTTGGTCTTAACAAATAACCTATTTTAACAACAAAAAAAAAAAAAAAAAGAAAAGAAAAATTAGTCATGTGATATTCCAATGAGAACGAGATATTTGATTCGTTTAACTGGACGTTCACATATAATAGAAACTCCGATGTATTCACTCCTGTACCACCAGAAGGAGAACAGATGAGTACGTTGCAGACTTAAGACAATACACCGATGTGGATATACTAGGTGACTTTGGAAGACCGTGAAGAAACTGATGAAACTAAGTGATGGTGTCGTGAAATAAAATATCTAAAGAAAATATTTAAGCATTAAGATCAAAATAATCACAGCCCCCTAAAAGAACTGCATAAATATGCCTGCTGTCACTGAAGGGTCGGTCAGGCCTTTTGACAGCTGGGACAAGTACACATATATGTTACATATATGCTGGCATGAACATTAAATTTCCTTTGAAAATTACAACAAATAAACTTTCTAAACAACAAACCGATGTGACAGGAGTGGTAGCACTATAGGATTGGAAGTCCGAGGTCGCAAATGATAAGTTACAGGTTAGATTTAGTTGGAGTATTGGGGTTAGAACATGGGACGAATGTCACCTGTACAAACGGCTGTTTCACAATCAGGGTGAACAATTAAATGTGGTTAATGTTACAAGTGTCTGATAAATTAACAATTTATGATTGGAGATTGCTGATAGACTAATATCAAAGACACTGTTTGTAGGAGCAAAATATAAAAAGAATTATAATGATTGGATTACAATTTACAAAAATATAACCAAATATGTGTTCAAAAAGCACCTATTTTTAGCTGTTACGGTGGGCCATTTGCAATTAAGGTCATAAAGATGATGCACTAGCTCTTTACGTCAATGATTTATGGTGAATATGATGTTGGTATATAATTCCCACAACATCTGTCTTCTCTTCTAGCAGGTTCATCCAAAGATATGTTCTGAGAAAAAAAAATTAACCATTTTGCAGAAACGGGCTTTGATACACATTTCATTTATTTTTGTTAATGCAATGAAAAACATATTTGATAAGGCCTAATATTACTTTGAAATCACCTACGTGATAATAAGATGAATTTACCATGTTATGACTTAAACATATTAAAGGAGTTGTGCATATGTAACCATTATTATTAATGCTATGGTATTTATAATCATGAGCACCTTGGTGTCTCCTACTTTTTGTAGTGTCCGTACCCCCCTATCTGTTTTATTTAGGAATCACAGCATATTCTGTCTGATTTTATTATTCTATAATGTCTACACTGACATTATTTTTGCAGGAAGAAAATAGCACATAACCCCTTATTATGAAAATATATGCAAGAATTTGGTGCCAGATGTAGTGTCCGTACCCCCACTGTAGTGTCCGTACCCCCAAGTTATACATTAACCATTGGATAACTGGCTACTTATCAATGATGATAAAACATCAAAATATGGTACAAAATATTGTTTTAGACTATATAAAATGCATTCATGTCTTGTGATGTTTAGAAAAAACATTGTATATAAATATATATTTGATAAAGTAATACTGAATAATTAGAGTCAAGCAAGAGATTTTGCAAAGAAATAATATCAGTAAAGATGCTACTCTTTGCATTCAAAATGAACAATATTGGTTTGAAAATATTGCCAAATATAGCTTATTGAAAAATAATAAACTGTATATGGATTAATATTCTATGGATTAATGTATATGATATATTTTGAGGCGGTACGAACACTTCAATACATGCATAATTAACAGTACATTTATTATACTCTCAGTGAATGAAGTATCAAATATGGATGACAATAAACAAAAAGCCAAATAGGAAAAGAAAAAGGGATCCTGGAAATTTTACTTTCAGCAAAAAATAATTTGAAAAAAAAAAGACGTCAAAGAGCTAATATCCGTAAGGATAATCTTGCTGAAGCACGTAAGGAAGACGTGATACGTTGAATGAACGTAACATAGAAGAGAAGCAAAAAAATGAAGAATCATCCTAGGCTGGCCCAGCGAGAAAGCCTAAAGTACAGAGAAGAAATTAGGGCATGACAGAGAGTTAAGGAGAAGCAGAAACCCAACAATCCTGAAAACAGTAGAACAAGAGGTGCAAATTAACGAGAGATGAAAAAGAAGAAAAGACTTCAAAAACAGGAATCAAGACTGAAAGAAAAAAATGACATACCTGTAATTACCTGGTTTAGGTGACTTGCTTGTCGAATGCCTGTTTATTAAATTGCCAATCTCTCAAAGTCTACCTGTGAAAATTGCAGCGCTTATGAATACCACTGATGTAAAGATTCAGTCTTGCGAGACCTTAAGACCATGGCCTTATCATAATGAAATACATACACATTATGTACGGGATAACAAAATAGATGCCTTACGAGCCATGGCTAACAAAAGGACTTGGTATAATGGATAGGTTAATGTTGAGTGGTTGAACATGGTACATAAAAGATTCAGCTTTTTTCTCGTATTTCAATGAATATGTCTTTTTGTTTCCTGAATACAAAAATATTTAAATTCACACCGCAGTACCATTGGTAACTTGGAACAATTGTGTCAACGTTAACGTTAAGAGCTTTTCGACCCAGAATTGGCTTGTACATCACGCTGAATATGCCAAGACTCAATGACGTCGCCCGATCTGTCTCTCGATGATTAAATAGTATCACTTTACAGAAAATACGGGAGATTTATCCTACCTGCTTTAAACTTATCTAAAAAGATAACGCCGCCCGTATATGATGAACATATGGAAATGACGCTAGTTATCCAGGTCAAACAAGACCTGGTTACAGGATAAAAAAAACAACTACAAAAGATTGTCGAAAAGGCAGGAAATGTAATTGGAACAGATCTTACCCACATCCATTCCATTTATCTCAATAGGGTTACAAATAAAACAGATTCCATCATGACTCAAACTACCCATCCAGCTCATACACTATTCAGATCTTTACCCAATAACTCGAGGCTTTTAATTTATAAGGGTAGTAAGCGATTTTTATCTAGCTTTAATCATTCAGCAGTAACTCTTTTTAACACTTGTACGTAATTTCATTTAAGTACAATTTAAAAAAGTTTTATTCAACAATGGCCCTACAATGGAGACACGACATTGCCATAATGAAATGCAGATACACTTAGTACCTGCGAAAAGAAAACTAACGACCCAGAACTTTATAACGTTCTTACAATGCACAGCTTGTAAAATGAGTTGATATGAGATACTTTAATACTGACTGAGTGGAAACGTATATAAAAGATGCAGCTTTTTGCATTTCAATGAGTATACGTTTTTGTCTTCTGTATAAAGGACTGTTTTTACTCAGGCCACAGTTCAATTCGTTTCAGAAACGATTGTGTAAACGTTAACAGCTTTTTGAGCTAGAAATGTCTTGTACAGCCATACTGAATATGCCAAGACTCCTTCAACGTCGCCTGCTTGGGGTCGCAATGATACTACAACCTAACAGAAATTTGAGGACATTTATCCCGACTGGGCAAAATTTATTAAAGAAGATACAGCTGCCCCTATATGACAAACATAGGGAAATGGCGCCAGTTATCCAGCTCAAGCAAGGCCTGGCGAAGCAGCCATGGCATTTTAGAAAGGTATGAGATATCAAATATGTTATGTCTTTTGTTGCCATTTGGACTTTTCCAGGTCAATAAATTCTAGGCTGATGTTATTTTAAGGTAGGTCAATTTTCAGTAAATTTCAATTAGCACATATGCATAAAAATACAAGCCACGTGGTCACAAGATCTGTTAATCAATAGGTGGCGTTTAGTCTGCAATATGTATCTACTTGTATGTGACGAAGCAAACCATCCATTGCAGAGGTCCCACCTCTTTTTGACATCTGGGGTCCGTTTTCATGTTTTTATCATGAGAAATATCAAACAAGTGTGATAATGATAAATATCAACCAAGTGTGTTAACAGTTCAATGCCGAAATGTAACCTTGGGTTTTATTGAATCGTTCAGCCGATCGAATACCCGCAGCTGACTGGTTCCGATCATTGGAGGCGCAAGATGCGCACCGTATTTAGAGTCTTCGACCTAAACGGTGATGGTTGCATCACACAAGAAGATAAGGAGGAGATGAACAGACGTACCGCAGAGTATATGAATCTTGATGGTAAATGCATTTTAATTAAATTTTTTATTTCTATTTCCAAATGTTGGATTCGTATTGTGCATATAGGCCTGCTTAGAAATAAACGTAATACTTTTAAGTATTAATACTGTTTCTAAAACATATTAAGTACCTATTTTATTTTGCCCTAACATTTAACATGTAAATATCATAATCAGTCAAAATCAATTAAAAGTACCAACTTACTTCAGTAGTATCTTAATATTTTTATATATCTAAAATATATCCACGCATCTTATTGTAAACATACTGTACATATTTCAGATGACAAGACTAAAACTGTTCTGAACCAGCGCCGTACCTACTGGGGAGATGAAGCCCCTGACAAAGTATTTGAGAATGAGTTCGTAGAGAGTCATCTAGTCAAGATGAATGAAATCAAGTTCCGAGAATTTTGGTTTGATATCCTTACTTCGAGATTTCAAATGATGGATCTTAATGGAGATGGACTCATTTCTACAGATGAACATGCTGCTATGTTCTACAGCTACAAGATCCCTACTGAGCATTCGAAGAAAGTGTTTGACATTCTTGATAGTAACAATGATGGTTTCATCTCCATGGAAGAGTTTTCCCACGCGTACACTGAATTCTGGTATACCGAAAATCCTGACAACATATTCAATGAATGCTACGGTCCACTCATTGACAATGAAACTTGAAACGATGTTTCCTATTACCGATTTCCAAATACTCTGCTTCAAAGATAAACTGTNATGACAAACATAGGGAAATGGCGCCAGTTATCCAGCTCAAGCAAGGCCTGGCGAAGCAGCCATGGCATTTTAGAAAGGTATGAGATATCAAATATGTTATGTCTTTTGTTGCCATTTGGACTTTTCAAGGTCAATAAATTCTAGGCTGATGTTATTTTAAGGTAGGTCAATTTTCAGTAAATTTCAATTAGCACAGCTTTAATATGCATAAAAATACAAGCCACGTGGTCACAAGATCTGTTAATCAATAGGTGGCGTTTAGTCTGCAATATGTATCTACTTGTATGTGACGAAGCAAACCATCCATTGCAGAGGTCCCACCTCTTTTTGACATCTGGGGTCCGTTTTCATGTTTTTATCATGAGAAATATCAAACAAGTGTGATAATGATAAATATCAACCAAGTGTGTTAACAGTTCAATGCCGAAATGTAACCTTGGGTTTTATTGAATCGTTCAGCCGATCGAATACCCGCAGCTGACTGGTTCCGATCATTGGAGGCGCAAGATGCGCACCGTATTTAGAGTCTTCGACCTAAACGGTGATGGTTGCATCACACAAGAAGATAAGGAGGAGATGAACAGACGTACCGCAGAGTATATGAATCTTGATGGTAAATGCATTTTAATTAAATTTTTTATTTCTATTTCCAAATGTTGGATTCGTATTGTGCATATAGGCCTGCTTAGAAATAAACGTAATACTTTTAAGTATTAATACTGTTTCTAAAACATATTAAGTACCTATTTTATTTTGCCCTAACATTTAACATGTAAATATCATAATCAGTCAAAATCAATTAAAAGTACCAACTTACTTCAGTAGTATCTTAATATTTTTATATATCTAAAATATATCCACGCATCTTATTGTAAACATACTGTACATATTTCAGATGACAAGACTAAAACTGTTGTGAACCAGCGCCGTACCTACTGGGGAGATGAAGCCCCTGACAAAGTATTTGAGAATGAGTTCGTAGAGAGTCATCTAGTCAAGATGAATGAAATCAAGTTCCGAGAATTTTGGTTTGATATCCTTACTTCGAGATTTCAAATGATGGATCTTAATGGAGATGGACTCATTTCTACAGATGAACATGCTGCTATGTTCTACAGCTACAAGATCCCTACTGAGCATTCGAAGAAAGTGTTTGACATTCTTGATAGTAACAATGATGGTTTCATCTCCATGGAAGAGTTTTCCCACGCGTACACTGAATTCTGGTATACCGAAAATCCTGACAACATATTCAATGAATGCTACGGTCCACTCATTGACAATGAAACTTGAAACGATGTTTCCTATTACCGATTTCCAAATACTCTGCTTCAAAGATAAACTGTTGCAACCAAACAAAGACCACCCATTTCGTTCAGAATGAGGGCAAATAGCCACCAGAAGGCCGGTTTTAAAGCCCTTAGCGAACAACAGCCATTGTAAACAGCAAAACATGATTGTCTGTTTTTGTAATGAATCGGGGGGGCGGGGGCGGGGGCATTGGGGAACACTGAAACCGTTTGGCTTTCTTTATTGAGGACAAATTCCATTTTCAAGAGACCTAAGACGATGCTTGTATCGCGTCTGGATTGACTTAAGGGTAATTGACACCTTCAGTATTTTTAAAACGTCGGTAATGCATTGTTAGGAATGGAAGTCCTAGGGCATACCTTACTAGGATTCAATGTCTGTAGGTTTACACTGAGAAATGACATGAGTAAATAGATATAGAGATATTTTAGTTTCAAAGATATAATAAACATTTGATTTATTACATTAATATGACATTTAATTATCCCCGCACTTTTGGGACAAAAGTCGGGGATCATGTTATCTCCTCCTAGACTATTGCAGGTAGGAAGTTGAAACTTTGGGAATTGGTAGACCCATCTTTAGGGAAATGCGTGGGCACATTGGAATTTTAGTGCAACAGGGGGTTGGGCTGCCCCTGGGGGGTAGTTAATTCAAAATTCTTGTGACATTGTAATTTCTGCTATCTCCTCCTAAACCGTTAGAGATAGGAAACTGAAACCTTTGGAACTGGTAGACCCATCATCAGGGATGTGCATGGGCATTTTGGAATTTTAGTGCCACAGGGGATTGGGCTGTCGCCGGGGGGGGGGGTGATTCTAAATTCTTATGACATTTTAATTTCTGCTTTCTCCTCCTAGACCGTTAGAGATAGGAAACTGAAACCTTTGGAACTGGTAGACCCATCATCAGGGATGTGCATGGGCATTTTGGAATTTTAGTGCCACAGGGGGTTGGGCTGTCCCCCGGGGGTGGTTGATTCTAAATTTTTATCACATTGAAATTTCTGCTATCTCCTCCTAGACACAGCAGTTAGGAAGTTGAAACTTTGGCGATTAGTAGACCCATCATCAGGGATGTGCATGGGTACTTTGGAATTTTAGTGCCAAAGGGGTTTGGGCTGTCCCCGGGGGGTGGTTTATTCTAAATTTTTATCACATTGAAATTTCTGCTATCTCCTCCTAGACCGTCAGAGTTAAGAAGCTGACACTTTGGTGAATAGTTTACCCATCATCAGGGATGTGCATGGGCACTTTGGAATTTTAGTGCAACAGGGGATTGGGCTGTCCCTAGGGGTGATTGATTCTGAATTCTTTCCACATTGTATTTTCTGCTATCTGCTCCTAGACCATTTCAGGTAGGAAGTTGAAACTTTGGTGATTACCTGTAGTATACCACCATCAGAAATGTGCATGAAGCAGTGATGTGTGTGTATGCGTGTGCGCACGTGCGTGTGTACGTGCGTGTGTGGTAAATGGTCCCTAGGGGTGAGCTGCTCTATGGGGAAGTGCGGGGATATGCGATGGCTACCCATCAACACCATCTACCTTTAATATTCTACGATGTTTTATTTTGCGATAGGCAGTTTATATGCATATAATAAAGTAACAAAAACTACAAGGCTTCCATAGTTTTGCTTCATTTATTTTATAGTGCGCATTTTTCTTCCAGTAAACGCAAATTTTTATATGTGTTGTGGCGAAAAAAAAGGAACACCAAGATGGAGAATGTTTCAGGGACTTTGAGGTTTCTTTATATATAATTATATATAAACACGGTCGAATATATATATATATATATATATATATATATATATATATATATATATATATATATATATATATATATATATATTCGACTGTGTTTCCTTTGGCTAGGCATTTTACACATAGGCACGAATGAATGATGTTAAAGCATTTGCATTCATCAATTGAGAACCGTATATACAGGCACACTTACCATCAAGGCTCAAATAGCCATATAATCTTAAGTAATAATAATAATAATAGTTATAATAATAAAATATAATAGTAATAATAATAATAATAATAATAATTGTGAATTCAAAGATCAATAGCCCGTAGTTCTTCGTACTTTGACTATAGTGATATGTGAAAGTCGTTATATTTAGAAGTCGTTATATTATTTTTTCCAAGAAAGATACTTCGAACACATCTGCATAAGACTGCAAAAAAGTACAAACCTTACCACTGTGACCACTATTCTAAATCATACTTAGAATATCAGTCAGGTATCGATGTTCCAGTTAGACATATTTTCCCAGCTAGACTAGTAATAGATGTCCTTTGACATTTTTAGATGAATGATGTATTCAATTAAGACGATTTAAACGTAATGTTTAAGAATGTTATTACGTTTATTATAATTATTTATATACATGTAACCCTATACACATTTTATTCAGATAGCTTAAGATATTTTAAATAAACAAAAAGATAACTACAAGTAAACATTTGACTTAAGATAGATGTGTGATTTCTTCATTCCAAGGCCCCTTTAAATTCAATAAAACTTTTAAGATGGGAGACTTTGTATATATTTCAAACGCCTTTTTGAAACATGCACTAGGTTGCTGATAGATATCACGTTGGTGGATAACATCCAATCAAGTGCTTGTGGGACACAGTACCCCCTTTTTCTTATTGTTACTAGATGGGTGTTCACAGGACTTTAAATCCCAGGAAATTGGACATGCGTTCATAGGAATGGGAGACCCAGGACATGCATTCCCAGGACATCCATTCCCTTCACAGCAACCCATTAATATAAAGTCTGGATCGTCAATAATATTTCCTTTCTCTTCACTTAAAATCCTTAAAATGATGGGGATGGACGTGGATCTCTATCATTTTCCCAGCTATGGCACAGATCAAACTTGAATTGAATTAATATCTAACCCGGCATGGCACCATGCATATCATACTACCATTTCATCAAAAAGTGCTATCTTCTCGGGATTAGACACTAAATAGACTTCCTGCGGGGATTACGCAACAAGCATTCAAGTGGGTCGGCCATATTTGATCCCTTGTTGTTAAGTAAATTAATACGCATATCGAGCGAGGGGTCTACAATAAGGTCACTTGTTCACGTAAAACCTGCTTATTAAATTGCAAATCTCTCAAAGAATACGAGTAAAGATTGCACCGCTTATGAATAGCCCTAATGTGAAAAGTCAATCTTGCGAGACCTAAAGACAATTGCCTTATCATGAATATGAAATATACACGTAATGAACAAAATGGATGCCTTTGAACTTCATAACTCTCACGATCCATACCTAACAAAAGGAGTTAATATGATAAATGGGTTAATGTTGACGGGGTGAAAATTGTATACAAAAGATGCAGTTTTTCTTGCATTTCAATTAAAATGACTTTAATTTATGATGTTTGCATACAGATATGTTTTAACTGAGACTACAGTACCATTCGTTATACAGAACAAGCGTGTGTAAGTAAAGCGCTTTTCGGGCCAGAAATGTCTTGCATAGCAATGCTGAATATGCCAAGACTTATTCAATGCCGCCTGCTTGGGCTAGCTACGATAGTACAATCCAACAGAAAATTGGGGAGATTAACCCTACCTGCTCAAACCGTATCAAAGAAGATAACAGTGTCCGCATTTGATAAACAAAGGGGAATGGCGCCAGTTATCCACCTCAAGCAAGGCCTGGTGAAACAGCCATGGCGTTTTAGAAAGGTTAGTGATATGAGATATTGTGTTAAGTCTTTCGTCTCCATGTGTTCTTTTTCAAGTCAATAAATCCTTGTCTTAAATAATATCAAAGCACGACATCTCTCAGTGATGTTCAATTACAAAGCCAAGATCTGTTAAAATAGGTTTTACTTTTTTCTGCGATATAGCATGTGGTGAAGCAAATAAAACAATTTTTGACGTCTACCACGCTTATGATCGTAGAGATTTTTATGATGATAAGTCTGGGTCATACTGCGCTTGCAACTTTTATGCAACCCTTTTGCAAACTCAGTCGCAAGGGGGTTGTCATACATGTAGGTTTTAAAGTGGTCGCATAATGCTGCTTACAGGTCGCAAGCTATCACTGACACACACATGCACCAACAACAAATGCGACTGAGGATGACAAATATGGATACCCCAATGGTTGCTTATCGGTCTTTTCTTGGGTGCCAGTAGTTCGTTATAACCAGACTAAAACCAGGTGTACGCCACTTGCAAATGCCCTGTCGAACAAGGATTAAAGCATAATTAAATTTATAATTATCATTATTGCAGTGCTGATTGCAATACGAATTAGATATTTAGCTATAGTAATGTTTCTCACAATCGTTAAATAAAGGAAGCGCGTGATGAAACTAACCCGACTTCCAAGTATATAGCAGCCAACACGCCCCCTGTTCTTTGTGAAGGTTCCATTTCACTAGGAGGTTTTCTTGTCTTCTGAGAGGGGGATGGATTTGAAAGTAGTTATCGTCAACAGTTTCCAACAAATATGATCTCTGCCACCTTGTGGTTACCAGTCGGCAATCGATCACTGCAGTCCTGCAACTGTCTTTCAAGTATCAAGTGGTCGCTGACAGGTTGTCTATCGCTCGACAAACGGTGTGCGACTGGTAAAACATAGCTTGATTGTGGTCTTTAGAGGTTACAGATACCATATATACCGCAACCTTGTTTTGACCGGTGTATTAAAGGTTGCCGATCAAAATATGCCAAAGATTCTCATTCAGCTCGCAAAGTGATTACAAGCGACCGCCACATTTTGTGGTTGCTCAACGGTTGTCAAATGGTTGCAAGCACAGTGTAACCAGTGCTTTACTGGTCAAATGTGAATAAATAAAACCAGCAATATGAAATAAGAGCCGAAGTGTAATCTTGGTATTTCCTTGCTTGTTCAGCCTGTTGAATACCCACAAATAACTGGCTCGGGTCATTGGAGACGAAAAATGCGTACCTTATTTAGGGCCTTCGACGTAAACGGTGATGGTTACTTGACAATAGAAGATGTAGAGATGAGCGCCAGGCGTAGTTCAGAGTTCATGAAGCTTGATGGTAAATGTATTAATTTTCAATATAAATGACAATATTGGTTTCATACTACAGGTTTGTTTGGCAATAAAAAGCAATACT